AGTATCCAAAGTATCAAAGAAGGATCGCCAGCTATACACGACATCTATAGACACCACGAGCCCTTTGACGCGATCCATTCGCAATGTCTTTATGACTCTGCTTCAACGGTGCTCTGTGAGTATATTGTATGATGCTCTTTTCATGGTACAAGGAAAATGGGTTATGGTATCAGGACGCAGAAGGTATTGGTATTGGTGATCAGGGAGGTTTGGATGATGGAGCTATAAGGCATGTTTATTCACGGAGGATTGGATTTGACATATGTAACCACGCAATCTGGAGGTCCTACACACGCGGAACCATGCCAGGATGGAAACTGGTAAGAGTATTTGAAGTTGGGATACAAGTGGGTGCTGGGGATTGTGATTTAGCTAGCATCGTTAGTGTAGCCTTTTTCTTTTGTTCTTTGGGAATAAAGCTGGTCAACGTAGAATTGGAAAGGATACAATTGGCTACTTGCATTGGTCTATGAAGGAGATGATGGTATCGTATAGCTGTATAATTGACAACGTTTACCCTGATATCCCCCATCTATGCACAAAAGGGAGTACTAGTATGCCCAGTCTTTTCTGTCGACGCGTGTCATGTCCTACAACATCCTTTATAGTTTTAGCAGAAGTATGAATCATCATCCAAAGGGGTTCATCCAGTGAAAGATCTTTCAAGAAAGACGCCCGTTGCCCATTGCTTCCCTTATGGTGAATGACAACAAGGTGTACACCCACTTACCTGTCACCACATATACCCGTAGCTATAGGGTAGAGTAGCTAATGTATGAATGTGGACGTTGTTGGTTGCTATGCGTACGTGGTTGAAAAGCTTTTTCCACACATAGTTTCTTTCCCCTTTTATTCCCCTGCCTCATTTGGGGATTACGTACAAGCAATACTATTAGTGCAAAAAATGAAGGATTTGCGATTGGATGGTCATAAGCGAATTGACGAATGAAAGGAAGAATGATGGCAACCAAGGGATGGTTATTCTAGGAACAGTTAATGATTGGGACAAGGTAGTTTTGGGTTCTAGGGGTAAGGTGGTGTTCTCTACATGCAGCAGGGAAGAATGGTGTGAGTTCGGGATGAGGTACCGCTTTACATGTAACCAAAAAGTGGGTAATGGGCATAATGATGATGTGCAGAGGAAGAGCGTGGTTACAATAGAAAGTGAGGTCATACAAAAGGGTAAGAAAATAAGCATGTAATGACATGAAAGACATTGGATCCTTTGATCAATGGTGGTCGAAAAAGAGATGTCTTATAAAAATGTACATGTGATTAGCAAAAGCAGCCTATGTATGATATGTAAAGCAATATTCTAAGTCTACGGGGATCGGCAAACTGCGTTACAGAAATGGGATGGGAATGCGAGGACATACGTCGTGGGACATCCCATGTTACATAAAGACACTGCCAATGATTTTTGGTTGCCATGTCAACCTTTTTCAACAAGGGCTGTGCGCATCCCAAACCACCATTGCCATAATGTCTCCCTGATTACCTTTAATAAAGTTATCCCAATCTTCCCAAGCAACTAGCACCTTCATCACCATCCAAAACACCAGCTATACCACTACTATCCTCCCCCAGTCCCTCAACACAAAGATGCAAAGTGCCATCCATTTCATGCTTCCACCGATCACATGCACCAGTTTCCACTAAAACCCCAATCCATACCAATCATCCATACATCCAAACATGAGCACTTCTCCTGAAAAGGAATATATATTGTAGACGATAAGGAGTCGCCGTAAACAAACATAGGCAAGCGCCATGATCATCCTTTTTCAACCATCGGAGCTATACAGTCTTGGGGTGTTTCTTCTATAGCATCGCTTGTAACTAGACCGAGAGATAAAAAGGAGAAGAAGAGACAACCGTGGATAACGCTGGTGAAAGAAAAAGATGATGCTGTAAGCATACTATGTAACCACCAAGATCCTCATTCATGTAATACCTTGCTGCTGTCTATAGCTACAGCGGTATGAGGTGACGCGTAAAAGGGTGTTCTGGCTGTCAGCATTCACCACATGGGGAGTAATGGGGAAGGAGACCCTCCAAAGGAAGATCGAGCGAAGGCAACTTTTCAAGAGCTCCATTGCGTCCAAACATAATTTGCTGCAAAGAGTGGTTCTTTCGCATAGTGTCAAAGGTTGTTTTTGTTGTGAATGCAATTGCTGGCCTTGGGTTGCGTTGACATGGGCGCGAATCGGTCAAGTGGGAGAAAAGAAAAGCTTGGTTGCAGCGGGAAGAAGATGGCGGTGATTTCAAGCCTGGGCTCCAAATGGAAACAACAAGATGTCTTTCAGCTGCATGATGATAAAAGAAACTTCCGATACGTGACCATTGTCACATGCTTGCAGTGGTTAAGCTTACATTCATAACAACGTCAAAACTCCATCATCATCCATCAACATGTGCACATGTAGAATAGGCCAATAAACAACATGATCATATATTCTTGTTTTTATCGATGCATGACCCTATGCTTATTATTCAGCATAGTAATCGCTGATATTTAGTGTATTGTCCCCGCGATAGTCCACGTGTGGGATATGTGCCTTTAACAAATCTACCATCGAGTCTTTAAGGGGGACACCAAGATGAGATGCTGTAGCTTGGGGAATGAGAGGATGCTAAATAAATCTCTGTCGGGGTGATCGCGCAAGGGGTAAATAGCGCCTTCCTGTAACGCGTCGCCATGATACACCAGGCCCATCTTTTCAACATGGGGAAATTCCTTGGCAAGGGTCTGGATACTTCATAATAGCTACCGTCATATTGCAACTCGTCAAAGTTTATACCCAATCTGCGTAATTGGTGAAGGTTAGCAAGAATGTGGAGCCAAGTCACAGGATGTATGTCATCATGGTATCATCTTCATGCCTGCCATCATCCATGTATAAACAATAAATATCGCATTGATGTCAAAAATGATATTCATCAGCAATGTTGGGAAGTAATATGAATGCGAGGGGGATACCGTATTGGGTTAGCAAGATGATTTCAACGGCACACCAGCCGTTTACCATATTCGTTTGGCACGCATACATACCCGTGTCACCTTTCTTTATCGCATTAATAGTTAAACTACGAGTATCCATTATATGGAGAACATGTCCTTGGATATGCAAAGGTATCATCAGCCATCTTTTGCATGCTGGATTGCATTACGGCCTCTACAATGGATTAGCCTGTTTTCTTCCTGAGAGATGAATCATCATCTGGGTTACACAATGACCAAATACATGATGGATCAAAACATGGTGCTCTAAAACCACTTTAAAACTCATCAAGGAGGACATCCATCATGCTGCATTGTATGAAAGATATTGCTTAACTTGCAATGTGAAAGGATGGTGCGACGTTTACGATGAGCAAACATCTCGCGATGTGTTGACCACTTATCACAAGCATTCGATCTTTGTTACACCAAGCTCGGGCCATGATCAGTCGAGGCTTTATGCGTGGGATTTATCTTTATGCCATCACAGCCATAGCGTTTCCGTAGTTGGCGGTATTTTTTTACTGCGACGATAGTTGACTACATTGTAACCCCATTGTATACAGCGTTTCACTGATCCTCATCGTCGACTTGTAGGAGATCAGCTTGATCAAGTCAAGCATAAAGATCTTTTATTGCAACGATTAAAGATAAACCTATGGAGGTTGGGAAAAACCAAAGCATATGTGATGTCGCTAACTCTATCTGATGGTGGAGATCTTTCATTGGATGACCATTCAAGCATGGCCGCATATTTGTTTTTTTATGCAAGGCAAGTGCAGTGGATGATGATCCATGGCTTGCTGACTAAAATTATAAAGGGATGTTGGGTGATGTGACACGCGTCGACAAGAAAGACTGGTAATACGAGTATTAATTTTTGTGCATAGATGGGGATATCAGGGTAAACGTTGTAAAAGTATACAGCTATAAGATGCCATCATCTCTCTCACATACAATGCCAGTAGTCCAGTTATATCCTTGCCAATTATACGCTGAGCAGCTTTATTACCAAAGAACAAAAGTAAAAGGGTTCACTAGACATGCTAGCTAAAAACGAAAACCCCATGATCCACTTGTATCCCAACTTCAAATGCTCTTACCAGTTTCCATCCTGACATGGTTCCACGTTTGTAGCACCTCCATATTCTGTGGATAGAGATATGAAATCCAATCCTCTGTGAATAAACATATCCAAAAGCTCCATCATCCAATCCTCCATCATCACCAATACATATACCTTCTTCGTGCTGGATACCATAACCTACATTCCTTGTAAGATGATGAGAGCATCAGAAAATGTCCTCACAGAACACCGTTGAAGCCGAGACATAGACATTGTGCATAGATCGCATACAAGGGCTTGGGCAATGGACGTCGTGTAGCTGGTCATCCTTCCCTGATAATCTGGATACTGAAGCATACACATTCAAGGATACGATAAATACCTGTTTGGATGATACACCGCCTTCTTGCCCATTAATCCCACCTACCATTGCCAATAGCCATGTCAAGGTGCATGAACGCAAGTTTGTAAAATGCCTCGGTTTGCTGGCTGTCCGTTTATATTCCATAGTCTTGTTGGGCACCGTTGGACGAGTAAAGATAAGCAAGCGCAATACAAAGATGGTCAGCTTGAGTAGATGGTGACCCTTGTTGACGATCATTAGTCACTGGAGGGGTCGTTGTGAAGAGGCAAGTTGTTTCGGGCTGTGTGAAAGAAGCTGAAACAAGTAAAAAGGTACAAGGAACCAAGAGATGACGCGTAACCAGGAGACCGATGTTGGGTGAACACGAATCGGATGGCGGACGGCGAAGAAGGAATGTCGACAAGGAGTAAAAGTAAAGCGTTAAAGAGAGTCGTCAAGTGTAGAAAGCAGCTGTTGTTGTTGTTGGGAGGAATAAAGAGGGGCCGTTGTTTACTGCGAGGACCTGAAACGATTAAATCCGGAACGCGTCCCGACTTGTGGCGCCATACTCCTTTCTCAGCTTAGTCACCATGACACACTCTATTTTTGAGATATTACGCACGGGCTACGTACAACTACCAACTACTGAAGGGAACGAAGACCATGGAGAGCTTGCTTACGATGCGACAACTTTTGTCAATGAGCTTCTTGAATCCACTCTGTCAGATCTGAATCGAGGCGTTTTGACATTGACATACGGCCCGAATCTCGACGTAGCTCTTGAACGTGCCTATAACATACGACTTTTGTTGCCTGATTTGGCAATCGGTTTTGCACATGCAGCCAGCATTTACAGCGCACAAGGGAGACAGCGTCAAGTTATCGATATCTGTGATCAAGGACTTCGTGTTGTTGACACCCAGGATACGCATTATGCTCTGCTACAACGACTCCGACAAGATGCTGTGCAACGTGAGAACATACGCATTGACCCATTCAAGAATCTTCCTTACGACATTCTTTGGACAACACTCATTCCCATGCTGATGAATGATGATACGACTTTGGATGCATTGATACCCTGCCACCCTTTGCATGTGTCAAAAGTATGGCGTGATTGCCTTATCCAACGTCTTGGCGGATTACGTTTTCGGGCTAGAGCGCAAGAAATCAATAACCTTCGTGAGGGATCTCAACTCAGCATTTTTTCTCGGCACATCAAGTCCTTGTGTGTTCCACTTTATTCCCAAGGCACGTGGCTCACTAATATGATACGACGTAAAGACTTTCCCATGCTGCAAGAGTTAATCATTGAACGTAAGTTGCTGTTGTTGTATGTATTCTTTCATGATTGCTTTATTCACCATTGTTTATAAAAGGCTTTTGTACAGTATCCATCGATGACTTTGTTTCGTCCTTGGAATCAATCAGCAGCACTTTGACTCATTTTCGAACGGGTACCATGGATGTGCAGCCAAATGCGAGCGTGTCACCGTTTACAGGAGTGCTCTTGGCCTGCCCGAATCTTGTTTCGCTTGAGATTTACCAACCCATTGATACGGATCTCTGCGATCTACCAAAGATGACATGGCCCAAGTTGACGACATTGGCAATTGTGAATGGAAGGAAGGTCTTTTCCTGTGATGAAATTCGCGCGATTTGTGAGCGTTTCCCATCTCTCAAGTTACTTTCGATTGGCTCATGCTCTGATCTACTATCGATACCCATCATCCACCAGTATTACCCATCCATGAGAAGTCTTCAAGTTGTGGCTGAATGTCCTCTTATTCATCTTCGCTACTCTGATGAAGGACCTGATTATGAGGAGCCTGGGATAACGAATCTTGCTATTTGGATGGATCAATGGAATCATGATGAACAACCTGTTCCTGATATTGGTGTTTTACTCAAGCAACATCATCATACGGTTGAAAGTATTGTCATGCGGGTTCATACTGCCGTTGAGGACCCACGGGTGTATGACATCAAGTACCCTCGCTTAAAGACGCTAGAACTCTACAACATTGGAGGGTGGATCCTCCGACATGCACCCATGTTACAAGAACTGCAGATGGCACAACAAACATTCATCACAACCCCAGCAGTGCTTGATACTATACCATCCAAGTTGAAGGAGCTAAGGCTGACTCATGTTGATGGATCTCAGGTTGACAACAAATCACCCATCGTCAAGTACCTCCATCGCTTTATCCATCATCCTCATTTATGTGACCTCGTTATCCACACCAACAACATGAACATGATGGGCAGTATTCTTGATGTGATTGGCCGTTTACGTCAGCTTCGATCATTGCTTTTCATGTACGATGAATGGGATCCCAAGGCAATGGAAAGCTTTTTTAGCAAACTCAGTCATGGATGCCCTCATTTAGCCCACCTAGGCCTCAACTCCTTCAAAGCTCCATCGGCGGCTTGCATGCTTGCTTTGAAACCTCTTGCAAATCTCAAGACGATGTCGATTTCAATCGCGCCCTCAGATGGTGATCCTACTTTTTTTGTAGCCATGGTCTCGTTACTACAACTGCAAAGTGTTCATGTCGATCTTTCGAAGGGAATCAACAAGCGTGATCTCCACGGCCTCAGAGATTTTAACCCAAATGTAAAAATTATCCCCTGCTAAGCTTGCTCTCGCTTTTCAACGTTCTATGGATTACCCTCGTCTTGCTCAAAATACCTCTCACATGTGCTATCCCCATTTTCAAATATGATCCAATAAATCTTTGTGGTACTTGAATCATTTTCCTTTTCAACGTGTAGCATAAAAGTGTACACTTTCAATGCTATATGACATAGACAACATTGCTTACTAATAAAAGTGGACAGCTAATCCACCGGCACTTCTCGTAAACAGCTGAACAGTGTTGTGATGGGGTTGCGGTGTTACATCCGTTACGTTGCAATCAACGCTGTTACTAGAAAAAGAATGGCATGGCTGCATGGTAAATGTGAAAAATCCATCATGATGGCTAATGCAGGTTTATAGGTAGCACACATGTAGAGCGTTCGAGTAATAGTTATCCCGTTAGGTCGCGGTGGGGGTGACTTCTTAATAAAACATGGGATGATGAAAACATCGGCTTGTGGAACAATGAGCTACCAAATAAAGATGCAGATTGCTTTTTTACGTTATCATCAGTGTATGCTCCATCGTAATCAACACGGATTGTCAATGCTAAACCTGCAAACATTCGCGACTTCCAAGAATCTATTGGTTTACGTTTAAAGATCCCGTATTGCAAGTGGGTTGTGGGAGTCTCAATTAATACGCCATGCATGGGATTATTTTTACCCTGATAAGCGGGGCATGCATGGAGCAATAGATCATCGTCGCCCTTGCTATATTGAATCACGTACGCTTTTCGAGAAGGTTCCTTTATTAAATGAGCCATATGCCTTGTGGCTATGCAAGTGTTATCATACCTTGTGTTACTTCCGAACATCCCGACCGTGTGTAACAAACGAATGCTGAACAATGATAGCCATCCTATTGCTTTACCCATATAAAAGGTTGCTTGTCGCGTAGCGTTGTTAAGCGAAGATGGGGATTTTATTCCTATCGAGGCGTTTCCATGGCATCCAGCAATTCCATGGTGGATGAGATCACGTATTTGTAACAACGCATCCATCATCATTATCATTATCATCATCATCATCATCATCATCATCATCATCATCATCATCATCATCATCATCCTTCGTAATACAACTACATGGCGCAATTTGATCTCACAGGGTACTTAGTATGTCTATCAGCGTAGATAAACACCATGTTGCAGAAGCACAAGGGGATGGATTGCTGTTCAACTCAAACAAGTGCAGCAGCTATATAATCATGCAGCATGTAAATCATATGCAATGAGGATGGGATTTTGACTAGAGTAAGTCTTTTTACTATTTATGCATGTTGAATGATAGAAAATATGGGGTTACATATAAAAGTGGTTGAGAAAGAAGGGTATGCATCTATAGGATGGACGTGGTCATCCGCCAATCAAATGTCGTGTTACAAAACGCGCCCTTTTCCTTGAGCGGCCTCGTTCTGCTTCCACCACCACCACAACAAACTTTTGACATGCTGCCTCCAACTCCTGTTGCCACTTCGATCGACAACCCAACAACCAATGTGCAACTCCCATCAATTGACAACCACCGTACACAATTGCCTTGAAGAGCTTGTCCCAGCACTCGACACCAGAGCTTCGTCATTTGCCGATTGTGGTCAACTTGGAATGTCGCCATGGTCGACGCATCGGTTATCATGACTATTGCACCTATTTCACCCGTTGGATATCTTTGTGCAAGGAGGATCTTTTGTGATCAAGGACACCATGCTTCCACCATCACCTCGTATGATAAAGCGCTACAACGTGTACCAGCCGCGGATTCCAGACATCATCATCACCCGTTCACAGCAAAGGAAACATCGTACAACGTTGCGAACAGGCTCATCTTTCTCGTAAGTGAACTACAGTTGCCTTTGGTTACCTGGAATCTGATTCAAGGATATTGAATGTGAAATAGTGGTTGGAATTGGTCTTGTAGACGAACACCTTGGTCTATGCAGTACCTGAGGACAAGAATAGCCATGGCAATTGGATTGGGATTTCGAATTGGAAGGCCTCCTTGGAAACGAGAGAACATGATCAACTACTGGAGATGGTACCTTACATCAAAGCACTTGTTTTATTGGATGCATACAATTTCAAGCGTTGAAACCATTGCATACGGTGATGGTAAGGAATGGGATGTCATGGGCATGTAAACACGGCACAGGCTAACATTTGTGATCAGACCCCATGTCCCCTCAATCTAATCATCCGTCGGTGTCTCTACATGCATGGAGAATGTCTTTTATGCAAGTCAATATTGAATATGGACCGATCCCAGCTTGCAAGAACGCTACATCCTATATGATCCATTGGACCCATGTCCCCCATTTGATAACGTCATCCATTTACAAGTTTGATATCGACAACAAAGCAAAATGTGATCAAGTTGACGCCCGTCAACACCCGCATGGTGATGGACATGAAATCCCTTTTTCGTCCGTTTCCCTGTCTACGAGCATTGAGAATCACTCCAACTCCAAGTTCAGCTTCATTTACGATTACTCCACTATTACAGCAACTCATCTTTTCCTCGTCGATTGTCATGGTGGCTTTCCCATATGATGGATTCTCAAGGTGAAGAGGATTATATACCTTGTAACGGAGGACTTGGATGTATTGGAAGAAGTATCATACCAATTGGTGTGCTCCCCGAGAAATGTTTCTTTGTATTATCGTTACCCTTAAAGTAGAGTATACCAGCTAGCTTCCATATACACTATCCACACATATAGAAGTTGATTCATAAGATAAAGTCGTTGCATCGTCATATGGTTTAGTGTTTACAAATTGTGGCACCATCCACGATCGATATGAATATCGTCCAGCATCTGAAGCTGACGGTGGATTCTACGTGACTAGGAGATAAGGGAAACAGTGATCAATGTGTATTTGTATTAGGCCAACATGGAAGCATCGTGTGATGATCAAGCAATCGCGTCTCTTAATCATAAAAGAAGAGCGTTACTGTGAATGTGCTCACACGTGTTGAGCGTAGAGTATTGCTACACTCATTAAATAGCTCCTTTATTTATCATGCAACATAAGATTATGACGCAAGGCAATGATGAACTTTGGGGAACGTTTGTACTCTTCCGAAAGGAGCGACTTGCTTTTACGTGTGCCGCACATGGAATGAAAGGATCATCCACGCATTAGGCAACATTCGTTTCTATATGCAATGCATTGATGATTCATGGTCAATGGAAGATTGGATGCAAGTGGATGCTATTGCGCCTTATATCAAAACAATGATTGTCGATGAGTCTACCCCGTTCGCCTTTTGGTTGCTCGGAGAACGTTTACGATTTTCTTCGTTAAAGGATCTCACACTTACGGGTATGCGCGATGCTATTTACACACACATGATCTTCACTCATTATCCTGCTATATAGTTGCGCGATCGCAAGTGGTGATACCATCACCGCAGGTTATGATTACAAGTCGGCCTCGTTCTAATACCATAACCCCTGCAGTGCCAGAGCCACTGCATTTACATCACCTTCTTGATCATTGTCCCGCACTTGTCGAATTGAAGATTGCATGCAAAGAAACCATCTTCATAGCCACAAGCTCACGTCTCTCTGCTACGTATCCAAGCATACGTCACCTTGAACTACGCTATGCATCCCCTACTGGTGAAAATCCACGCTACCCCTTTAGTATCAAGTATCATGTTTCTCCAGCACTCTTTAAACATTTTCCACGTTTGCGTCTATTGGCATTACGGTATCCTCAGCCTCGCTATCATGACATGCAAACGATTTTCGGATATTGCCCAATGTTGCAACAGCTGTTTCTTGGAGGAATTCAGAAGCATTCGGTCCCAGAGGGTACAACCTCTCTTCAAAGGGGTTTACGATTACTATCTTTGCATGGTCCTTCATCTCAAGGGAATCTCATTGCACAATTGCTAAGGGATCACTCAACCACAATCAAATCATTGGCTATGGAATGTGTTGGTGCTTGGCCATCATCTGCCCAGATATTGATAAACGATCATGTGTTATTTCCACGCCTTCAATCATTGCATCTTCATCGTCGTATGAGCCGCCATCCGATGGCACTTATTCGAGCCGTAATTGGACGAGCACCAAATCTCGAATCTGTCAACGTTGATAATGGAGGGCTACAAGGGGTGATATTGGAAACCTTGATTGGTAAACCGGTGCAAAACATTGATCTTGTATGCACGCCATGGTCCAATCCTGCAAGTGCACTTAATTTTCTTGACCATCATGCACAACTAGGCATGAGGTCTACACTTCAAGAGGTCACATGCACTATCACTAGCGACTATGAGTATCGCAATACCATGCGAATCATGCACCCGATGGCAACATTCAAGGATCTAGGTGGCGGATGGATGCTTTCAATTGCAGCATTACAGCAATTGCAATCACTCGAGCTATCATTCGATGGCGATGTTTATGACCAGTCATTGTCAACATTTCTACGGCTTCTTTCGCAGCGATCTCCTTCACTTGAAAACTTGACATTGGCGTTTTACTTGTCTTTCAATATTGAATGGCTCCTCCCACTATCCCGGCATCCAAAACTCAAAAAGATGGTTATTGCGTCGAAAAGATTTCCCAAATACATGACGACCCTTGTGCAGCATTTTGCTCGATTGCAGGCATTTGATCTCAAGCTGAAGTCTACTGGCCGACGCGGTTTACCAATCGACATACCGCTTTCTCGTTTACTATAAACACACATTACCATGAATCTTTCTAGCTATCATCTTGAAGAACTGCCTAGCCTTTTATGCTCTCCCAAGGCCTTCATCAGCATGCACATTACTATATAGCTCTATACCTTGGAGGTGTCATTGATTTTCTTTCTTGCACAATATATGAAATGAACCCGTTTATTAAGCTTTAGCGAAATCCGTAAAGATTCAAGGTTAAAGCCAGCGTGATGGTAATACAAGAAAAAAGTGTAGTCTTTATTGGGCATGAATCAACCAGATTGCTTCACAAATACAGCATAAAGCCTTGTCGTTGTGGTTACAAGTCATATGATTAACCTAGGGGTGAGGGTGAATGATGGATGGTGTGTATCCATTTTGAACATGGTTGCCATCTCGCAAGATCCCCCAGCCAATCTTGTACCAAAGTGCTTCATGACTACCACCGCTCCCACACTAAAAATAGTCGAATAGAAATACCCTCTGGTAAAGAAAGAAGCTTATTTACTAAGGATGCTGATTTTGTGTGGTTGTTCCTTAATGCTGATGCGGGTGCAATACTGTTATCCTTCGATGTGCTAGCAGCAACATGGGGAAGACGAAGGCATGTTGCTTGAGAAGATGCTTCTTGGCAAGGAATAGATGGTGTTTGTTCTTCCCTTGGTGACACCACGGTAATACCTAACGCCAGTATACGTGTCATAATGTAGATAATATCCTCCATCAATCATTACCGGTGATCCTGTCTTATCCATCGCAACTATGTTTATTTCCATAGATCATAAAACTACTCTATTACAGCTAATGTGCTACAATAGGCACCAACCTCCAGTGTATCACAGGTCCAAGAGCTCTTACCTTATCCATCCTTACTTCATCCAACACCCATAGGTCTCCAATGAATGGTACCAAAAAGCGTCTCCTTTACTAAGCCGAACCAAAAGGTCCACCATCCAATCATACCTCATGACTCCAAAGATCACCAGCCATACCCGCATACTTGGGCCCCAGTTGTATAAGCAACAGCATCACATGAAAGCGAACAACACCATTCAAGAGCCATGTACCAGATCATGATGGAAAGCGAGAGATAAAAAAGCGTTCAAACGGGATCGTAACACAAGATTGTCTTGGGGAAAAGGTGTGTTGTATCTCGTAAATCCTCCTTCCACTACCTGCCTGCTGAAACATCCACATCCCACAAGCGTGCCAAGGCTGAACAAGCACCTGTTCATGATGATGACGATGATGACGATGATCATCAGCATCTTGTAACAAGAAACCCCTTTTCAAACCCTGCCAACGCTGTCTCCCGTAATATTGAACGTACCAGCAGCTGTGATTATACGATTGTGTGTGTTTGTAAGCCTTGTGGTTTTGGAAGCACGTAGCCTGGTTGGGTACCTCTAGAGCGGTAACGATAGGTAAGCTCAACAGCAGGATCTTTGGCAAGCACAATGGTCGTCTTTGTTGCCGATTGTTGGCTAGTTGAGTCGTCATTGTCAAACGTGCAAGTCGTTGAGGGGGTCGAAAAAAGCCGAAACGAGTAAAAAGGAACAAGACAACAGGACTAGGGTTGCCATAGAGATGACGCGTAACCAGGAGACGAATGTTGACTGTAAACCAATCGGATGGCAGAAGACGATTGAGTAAAGTTGACAATGTGTAAAAGAAAGGGTCGTCAGGTATGCAAAGGAGTCGTTGTTGGAGTAAAAGGGGGAATGATAGCAGCGGCTATTGATTCGACCAAGGTATTTTATGTTTGGTGCTACGCGCTTTGACTCGGTGCTCTCGTCTCCCACAGCCAATACACAATGACCCACTCTATTTTGGGCGACCTGTGCAAACCACCCACGCTTACAACAACCACTGAAAAATATGTACAACTTGTCCACGATGCAACGACTGAACTCCATGAACCCGTTCAATCGATCTTGTCAGCTTTAGATCGTCGCGCCAATGCATTGACAAAGCTTGCCAACTTTGAGTCAGCCCTTCGTGATGCGAAAGTTATGCAACAGCTCTCATCGTCTTCAGCACTCGGCTATTTAAGAGCAGCGATCATTTATGCAGAACAAGGGAAACAGCGCCATGTCATCGATATCTGCAACCAGGCACTTGATATTGTTGATACAAAGGATATGGGCTATGATACGCTACAACGAGCGAAAGACGTTGCCATGCAACGCCAAAGCACACGCATTGACTTTGTCAGCCAACTACCAGTCGACATTGTTATTACCACGCTTATTCCCATGTTTATGGGCGATTGTATCGTGTGTTCATATGAACCAAGCCCCTACCTACCTGTGTCCCATGCATGGCGTGATCGTATTATTCAATGCTTCGGTGAATTCACTTTCCATCTCAGTGATGGTGGCGACCTGTCCCAAGTCATTGACCTTGCCCAGCACACCAAATCTTTGGATATAGGCGAATATGGGGAAGGAACATGGCTTAGCGATTTAATTCGTGATAATGACTTTTGCGCTTTACGAGAGATACGTGTTGAATGTAAGTAGTACTACCTTGCTTTTTTCGATTCCCTATATTTACTTATATACGCATGCAACTATAAGACTTCCTGAGCAAGCAGGTTGGATGCTTCATCTCGGCGTTGACATCAATCGGCAGCACTTTGACCCATTTGCAACTCCATCTGGAAGAAGGTGGACCTGATTTAGGAGTACCCGAGATTATGTCGGCTTGCCCAAATTAGATGTACGTCAACATGACCTTGCTCAGTACCAAAAAGCGAGATCAACAAGCGTTAAACGGCCGTGATATTGGTGCCATTCGTGCATCACTCTACCGCAACACCCTGCAAGGCGTCTACGAAAATGGCGAAGTTGTCGATTGGGACGAGGTACAACGTGTACAAACTAGGCGAGTACATCTAAACCTCCAAAATTGTGAAGTATCAGGAGCTTCTACTTTCGGTCCATTGAGTGCCACGTATGAGCCAAAATATCAAGATGGCGTGTACAATACGGATAGTGATGAAGACTAGCTTTATTTGCAATTACATTAGCATGGTGGTTACTTTTGTGGATGAATCTATTATAAATGATGTGCGAAAAAAGACCTTGGTAGACGAGAGAGAGATGCATAAATCTTCTATTCATGCTCAACATGATCATCATGTAGCCAGCAGCAGCAAGTGATACGCCATCTTTTTGCTCCATTCCGTATCGGCTTTTTCAAGCATGGGTCGAATGGGTCCAATTGTTTTGTATTCATTACCGAAAGCACCTTCTTTTCATAGAAAAGGCGATACCCATATTGCAGCAGTGTTCCACACGTTCGTGAGCGTGCATGTCAATTGCTGGAAAACCTCATTGAGCGTTTAGAGACATTGGCGAGAGGTTAAATTCATCTTGCGTTAGGCATTCCTTTTACTGTCAATAGTAAAACCTTTGCTTTATATCACCGTTGTTGGCTTTACATCGTTGCATATAGTATCAAATAATAAAGAGTGGCCATAGGAACACATGTTGTTGCACAACAACGACGAGGGATGATCGACAACCCTGTTCATGATGATCCAGGAAAGCCAATCGAAAAAGCTATTCATCAGCCTATCGATTGGATGATACTGTACTTTAGAAATTGTGTCTCTCGAGGTGTTTCTTGGGCTGTGGTGTGCAGCCTGTACCGGTATAGTCATTGCCATGCCAACATGATGATTTCGTTATTGCTTGCAGCCAACATTCATACATAGTATCAATCGCCTTTTGGATTCTTTATTAAGCAACATGGTATTTATGATATACATGATATCTATTTCTTGGGGCATTATAAAAGTACTATGGGCTGTGGTTGATTGATTGTGGAGGGGTAAGAAAGGGATAATGAACGATTCTTTGTGTGGGATGATGATAGCGGAGGTTACACAACTACTGCTTGGTCGCCACTGAGACAGGCGCATCACGCCTTGTTCCTTTCAAACCCACACACAGCCAGCATGTCTTGAGTCAGCTTGCCCACGTTTCTCCATCTATTCGCCAATCGTGCTTCACCAATGTCAAGACAACCTCAATTAGCCAACCTCCATGGCGTGTTCAGCAACACATGCAGCCCATTGTCACAAAACGCTTACCGATGGAGCGTCATGAGCTTGGCTGCTGTTACTCGCCTTGGATTGGTGTTCGACTACTGCGCTGTAGAGATAGTTCAACACATGCATACACGGCATGAAGGCTGTGTGCAAGGATGACGATGATGATCAATACAACAAACCCGGCTCATCCAAAAGATGTTACCATGGGATCTTGTTCTTGGCTATGAGAAAAATTACGGATGCAGCATGAGGCGATGAAGTTTTATCATGTAGGTTCATAGGACGTTGATGGTAATAACAACTCCTGATGAGCCTTGTATCCTAGATCCCCTGTTGCCAAGCGGATGCAATTGGACGACATCATCACGACCAGTATCAGGATATCCGTCGTTGATTTCCCTGTATGTCTAAGCGCTAGTTTATTACGTGGTGATGAAAGGTATGTAAAAACGGCATCATGGATGGTAGCTGCAGCTCATTCATTCGACTGGATCATCCATATTAGATGCTCGTTCACGTATTCTAGCAAGGTGCATCATTCACTATGGCTGCTATTTCAGTAAACTGTGTCTATGCTTGCCTTGATGACAGCACAAAGGTGGTGTTGTTTTACAATGGCCTGGTGAGAAATGGCAACAATGGCAGCTTTCAGGAGGACTGAGACAGAAGATTTTGTTCACGGATGGCAACGACTACTATGTTAATGGTGAAAACAAGAGGGGTCGAAAGGTTTTCAGCAAAGGGAATCGATGTCATTCTCTATCGGCTACACTTTTGGAATAACACCAACAACCTTTATCCGTTATGCGTTGATGGGGCTTCCAGGGACACGAGAGGATGAAAAGCCGCTTGAAGGATCATGGATCAAAAGAGGACGATCAACATCAACTTCTCTTGGATGCGGCGTGGTTGCTATACGACCAGCCTATATGGATGATGCTGTTGGACAATGAACGATACAACGCCAATGTCGCGTGGAGTTTATGGAGGCGTATACTTGTCATCTACATCAGCAGCGCTATCATGCAACTACACGATGCAATACACTAACCAGTCGGATCGGCCATGGTGCATAATGACAAGGCGAAGCTTGTTTTGGATGAATACATGTATGATGTGTATGTCGACAATGGCACCATTCATCATTGGTAAGGCTTGCAGCGTCTTCTTTCTTGCTGATAAAGGTGAGCTGTGATAAATCTTTTGCTATATTAACGTTGATGAGATAGATCTGGATAGCCAAACACTAATAGCACATGGTTCTTATGACCTCCTCTGGTGATAGGCATAGACCACGTTGGCATTACACCCTCGCCCTGCTACGATGCCCCTTTTAGGTTTAGGACACATGAGAATAGATATACATCCGCAAAGTGAATTTATTCAGCAATATACAATAAATCGAAAAATATGATCCATGATAACCTTGCCTAGTCAATCAAATAAGTCAAAGCAGCTGCCACTTTATCAGACATGCTTTCTTCGTCGATGTCAAGAATTACCAAAGACTGGCATTTTAAAAGATCGAGCAAGCTGTCATCCCAGAAATCCAACGACATTGCATACACGGATAAAGATAGCTTGATCATGAAACCATTTAATGAGTACACCTTCAAGTTTTGAAGAGAGGATATAGTACCAATCTTACAATGGGAGGTATTATCATTGCTAACCACATGATCATAAAGCCAATGGAACTATCACTGATGTAAGCATGCTAATTGCGTTGGTTTTCATTGAGATTGCTTTAAACAATGACCTACATTGTATGTATGATAACTGATTGTTTATACAAGGAGCCCGTTTATTGATCCAAGTAATGAGGACATGCGTGGGCATCATACAACGAGTCATTTTGTCACACAACATGCTGCGTTGGTTGTCACAGTTCTTTTTCGCCGACCTTGGTTGCTCTCTTCACCACCAAATCCTCAGCTCACCCAATCGTTCCCCATGTCCTCACACTAAATGAATGCAACAACACGCGAAACCAAGATCCAGCAATTCGTTACGTGGAGCCAAGTAATCCCATGGCAACAGGCTGCCCCATTGAGGCGATCGAAGAAGCTGAATCTACACGACATGCACTTGGCTGGTGGCTAGCAACACGCCATACGTATCGACAGTCGTCATGGCCAGCACGTTGAATAGTTCAATAAGCAGCTTATGGTAAAAGTGGATGGGGGTGATTGCTTTGGTTCCTTTATTGAGGGCTCTATAGCAGTATAGCACCCTATGACAACCAAGGAATGCTGTACGCATCAACGCGTGATTTTACATCATCTTCAGCGAAACCTTTGGAAACGCTAGCTATCGATGGCAATGACGAAGGATCTCAGCAGTATTGGGGACCAAATTGTGGAATCGATGTTTTATGAAAGCCATTGTGAATCACCATCATCACCATCATCATCATCATCATCACATCTTTTTGTCATCTCTGAAACGGGACCATCAAAGGCAGTGGAATGCAAGGATATATGGTCCGGATCATTAACCGTATCAGCGGCAATGGCGAGTTGTTGTTGTTGTGAGGAAGGATTGATTGGAGAATGGGTGAGAGGATAGTATACAAGGTATGGATATACATGAAGGGGCCAGGGATCAGTAAAACGTAGTTTATCAATGCCTCGGTTGTCAAAACAAGGAGGGATCAATCACAAACGGGTATGCATGGGAATCTCGGAAGGAGTCATCCGACGTTGTGTGTAACATGCAAATAAGCATAGGTTGGGGATCATCCGGCGTTTCTGTTTTGACACTCTTCTTTTTTCTTTGGTCACTTTTTCGAATGCTTAAACGCAGCTTCTCTCCTGGTATGCTAAAGACAACTTTTTTTCAACCTATGGTTGGCTGAAAAAGCTTTGTAGATACCACGCAAGGCCGTCTCAAAACTTTACGACGCAATGGACCTATTGTTCTCGCTGCTGGTGATGATGGTGATCCCGATGTGTCTATGGCATCACTGCATGAGTCGTTCTTGTTAGGCTCGCCTTCTCGTTCACGGGAATCATCTGAAAGTACGTACGCTCAACATCGTCGCTCAACTTCCAACGCGCCTTGTGTAACAAACATATGATGCATGACAACCACAGGTCTTGAAGAAAGTGAGGACTATGAATGCCAACTCTTGGCAAAAGACGGTGGTGGTACCGACAGTGAATACCAGGAGTACGTATATACAACAATGTGATCAATAACAAGGATTAATAATGGAATGATACCAGGGACAATGATGATGATGATGACGAGGAGGAGGACGATCAAGAGGACTTGGCGCTTAAAACGTCATATGAAAGGTAGGTGTTTTATACTTTGGGTGATAGATAACACGTGCCGACATCAATCTCTTTACAGGGTTACGGTCAAAATACCCACCTTGCCGAGTGATGAAGAAGAGTAAGATACATGCCACGTGTTTTATGCTGCTGTTGTGGTAATCATTTTCGTTTCAATGGATGGCAATAGTGAGATCGTTGTGTATGGTGTCCACGATTTGAACAAGGGCTTTGGTGATTGGTTACGACGTTACCTATTCACGGTGAATGCCTTTGTACCTTCATGCAAGCATGGCAGCGCTTTTCATCATCTTTTCAGTCGACTATTTCATGTTCCTCAAGAACAAGAGTTTCGTGTTACGGACCATGTTCACGAAAAGGTATGTGAGTGAAGGATTGAGAGGGAAAAAGCAAGCATGGCTTGACGCCATTTTATGTTCAAGGTTATGAAAACCTTCAGCAACTGCCGTGCCAGATTATCACTTGTTGTCAAGGAGGCCATGATATCCTACACATTCGATGATACGACCCTGCCAGACAAATGCAAAAAGAATCGCAAGAGGCAACTCAAGTACATGTTGGACGCCATGAGGTATGTATTCATCCATCCAATGCCCTCACGTATTGATAAATAAGCCTAGATTTGCTCGCAAGGATTATTTGTCAACGGGTGCTCTCTTGCAGAGTACTATGTTAGGGGATGTGATTGCCAAAGTATTTTACCAAGGGAAAGGAATGGGATTGGTGTTGGAAGAAGACTCGGAGGACAAAGTGCCACGCCCCGTCATTGCCCTTGCATTTGTATTTGTAAGTTTGTGCCATACAGTGTAGCCGTGCTCGCTCGACCATCAGGTAACAAAAGGGATTATTATTAGATGTACGTCAACATGCACATGCTGTGCCACAAGAAACGGGATCAAAAGTTTGTGAGAGGTCGTGAGGCTGGTTCTTTTCGGGCATCACTTTACCACACTACATTACGAGGTGTTTATGACAATGGCGAAGCAGTGGATTGGAATGAGGTCCAACGCATACAAACCGAGCGCGTGCATCAAAACTTGAAACGTTGTGAAGTATCTGGCTCTCTTGCTTTTTGTCCATTGAGCGCAAGCTATCGACCAAAGTATCAAGATGGTGTGTACGTTACAGATAGTGAAGAAGATTAGATTTATTTCCAATAACATTAGCATGATGATGAATCTATTGTAAATGATGGTGTAAAAAAGAGTCTGCTGAAAGAGAGAGGTGCATAAATGTTTTATTCGTGACCAACATGATCATCATGCAGCCAGTAGCAAGTAATACTTGTATCCTTTTTTCCCATTCCATATCGGCTTTCTTCATACATGGTTCGAATGGATCCTATTGATTTGTATTCGTTACCAGAAACCTCTTCTTTTCATGGCCAGGACGATACTCATATTGCAGCAGTATCCCACACGATCGGTGAGCTTGCATGTCAATTGGTGGAGAAGCTCAATGTGCGTTCAGCGACATTGGCGAGAGGAGGTCAAATTCATTTTGCGTTAAGTGATGCAGCCACGATGCGAGTGTTGGCACCAAGGTCGTCTGTTGGGTATTTGCGAGCGGGAGCGATTTATCAGCAACAAGGAAATGAGCGAGCAGCAGTCCGCATGTATGACCAAGGACTTGAAGCAGTATCACCTTCGGATCATGGTTACACCGACTTGAAGCAGAGACGCGCTGAGGCGATGCATGCTGCTGATTCTAAACGCGTTGATTTTATCACCCAATTACCACTTGATATCGTGGCTACCAGCATCACACCATTACTATTTGAGAGTGTTCATCTCCATGCCGACAAGCCTTGTCCTTATCTTTATGTGTCACGTGCATGGCAACAGCGTCTTTTGGCAAGCAATCCATTGACTTTTATGATACACAAGGATGTTTCGGACTCGAGACAAGTCATCAAGTTTGCATCCCATGTCAAATCCTTGGTGATTCCCTCTAACAAGTATGGCTCAGAGTATGATCCTGCACATGTCTTGTTGAAAGCCAACTATCCAAGTCTTGTAAAACTCATCTTGCATCGTACGTATGCTTTTTCTTTTTCCAAATGCTGTATGTATTCATGGATGCTATTGATATAGATCGAGGTGACCGCGGTGTGTTGAATATCTGCATCTCTTCTGTGGGTGATGCATTGACATGGTTAAAGCTTATTGTGAGCTTGGAGGATCCGATTGATTTGCGCTTTGTGTTGGATCATTGCCCCCACTTGATTTCTCTTGAAGCAGCGTTCTTTGATGGCACCATGACCAATAAGCTGACCAAGCAGTATCCCAATTTGAAGGACCTTCATCTACGTGCACTCTCTCGCCATGGTATTACAGACAAGAGCATGCTCAATATCGTTGGCCATCTTCCATCCTTGTCATCATTGAATGTGGGATCCGTGCCTAGTTCTCGCTTATTGTCAACCTTGCATCATTATTGCCCCAACATGAAACTGCTAGCTTATGGTGACAGTATTCTTGATTTGAGAACCTACAAGGATCATGCAGGATTACAAAAAGTCTCGATTGGTCAAAGTCAAATTGAATTGAACCCTGATGATTTGATATCAATCATTTCGCGTCATTGGAGATCGCTTGAACAACTCGCCTTGAAAGGCCTCATCAAAGAACCTTTGAAATGGCGTCGTGGATTTGTTTTTGAACGCCTTACGTATTTGGAAATCGACGCCGAGCATGATGCACTGCTAACATTGGCGACATCCATCATTCACCTTGCACCATGTTTAGAAGCCATCAAGGTGTTTATTCAATCGGGAGACGACCCTCATCAAGCATTCGTTGCCATGACCGAGTTGAACCATTTGAAATGTCTTTGGCCAAGATGCATTGCACCCTACTCCAATTCGCTTTATTATTTCATTCAGCATCATGTCAACTTGGGTGATCAGTCATCCCTCCAAGAGATTCGATTGCTGCTGCAACCTGATATGCCGCCATGTCCTTGGTTACGTGCGATTGCTCAACTAGCCAACTTGCGACGTCTTGAGATTGGCATCAAATCCATGTCATTTCCTAGGAATTACGTTGCCATGATGGATGCACTTGCGCAAGGATGCTTGGCATTAGAGAGTCTTGAGTTGAAATGTGGTGCTGTGGATCTACCGGAGAAATGTCTTGTTCTCTTTGGTGCTCATCCTGGTATCAAACGCTTGGCGATTGTGGCTGAATCTATTTCCAATCATGATATCATTGCTATTTTATCCATGCCAAATTTGCAATGCCTTGATCTCTTGACGCTCATGGATGATCTTACACTGGAAACACTCAAAAACAACATTCCTCAGGTTAACTACATGCCATTATCGACATCGGATCGCCTAGCATTCTCTTTATCATCGTAGTAAAACCATTACTTTATACCACCGTTGTTGGCTTGACACTGTTTCATGGGGTGGGGTAAATAACAAAGGAGTGGGCAATAGGAATACATGTTGTTGCACAAACAATGACGAGGGATGATTGGCTACTTTGTTGACGATGATGCAGCTTGTAGTCAATTGAAAAAGCCATCCATCACCGTATCAATTGCATGGTGCCATATTATAGAAAGTGTATGTCTTAAGAATTTTTGGCATGCTGTGAAGCTTATACCGGTATACTCACATTCATTGCCACCATGATGATTACGTTATTGCATGCAGCCAACATTCATACATTCCACCAATGGTCTTTGGGATTCTTTATTGAGTTGTATGGTATCCATTTCTTAGGGCATTATAAAAGCACTATAGGCTATGAGGTTGATTTGGAGGGATAATGAACGATTCTTTGTGTGGGATGATAATGGCGGATGTTACACAAATGCTGCTTGGTCGCCACTGAGACCTGCACCACACGCCTTGTCCTTCCCAACACACACACACACACAGCCAGCATGACTTGAGCCAGTTTCCCCACGTTTCTGCATCTATTCGCCAATTGAGCTTCACCAATGTCAAGACAACCTCAATTAGCCCAACTCCATGGCGTGTTCAGCAACGCATGCAGCCCATTGTCACAAAAAGCTTACCGATCGAGCGTCATGAGCTTGGCTGCTGTTACTCGCCTTGGATTGGTGTACGACTACTGCGCTGTAGAGATAGTTCCAGAATGCACCAGGACGACGACAACGACCACTGGTGGATACATGTATGCAAGGAGATGAAGGCTGTTTTCGCAAGATGATGATCCATACAGCAATACTGGCTCATTCAAATGATGTTACTATGGGATCTTGCTCTTGGTGGTGAGAGGGATTGTGGATGATGCAATGTATAACAAGCAAGCTTTATCATGTAAGTACATAGGACGTTCCTTGCAATGCCATGTCCTAATGAATCTTGTATCCTAGATCCCTCGTTGCCAAGCGGATGCAACTCCACAACATCATCACGAACAGCATCAGGATATCCATGGTTGGTTTAGTACTTGTATATGCGCTCGTTTATTACATGTGGATGAAAGGTATGTAAAAACAACATCATGGATGATAGCTAGCGGGTCATTTATTTCATTGGATTATGCATATTCAGAGACTCATTGGCGTGTTCCACCAAGGTGCATCATTCCCACGGCTGTTGTTTCAGTACACGATGTCTATGCATTGCCTTTCTGGATCAGGACCATCCATAGCCATGGTCGAAACGCTTTCAATTGGATACGAGATGGCAATATTGGGAAGATGGAAACGAGCACAACACCGAGCTTGCAGTAATTACGATACGGGCATCAGCATTCATCAACGCAATCACGTGGGGCAAATTCACCACGCCATCTGGCTCGCTAGTCATGTCATCATCATCACATGGATCATTCGAAATGTACTTGGTTCACAGCCAGCCACTTCCAGTAATCATTCGACACTCGTCTCTTGGTGAACGTGATCCATGAATCAGCTCGAGTATACGCAACACCCACACCAAACGAATGCAACTGCAGGCACATTCATCAGCAATCTACAATCATGAGGAAGCCTGATTCAAACAAGTTTTTCAAAGCCTTGTACACCATCTTGGTTGCGTTGACATCACGATGATCTACAACAAAGCATATACGTCGTATGATACCTTTATCAATCAAAGACAACACATGACGACCTTGTTTATCACGCCAATCCTGTTTTTCGTTTACCATTGCTATTACAGACAACCGTAGCCTTTCTTTGGACCTGCAAAACATAGCTCAGATTTATCAACGTTGATAAGCAGCAACGGTATCTCAGCTACCAGTATTCGGCAACACCGTTTGTGCGAGCATTGCATAGCAGTCCAACACGATCCCATCCACTTCCAAAAGTACAGCATGGAGCGTTATGTAAAGTTGATATGATTTATCATAGCAATCCATTTATTTTGCTTTATGACATCAATATGATAAATACCCACCCTTTTGCGAAATAAAACTGGTAGAGGATTCTGGTGCACAGCATTTTAGTAATCTCTTTTTCCTCATGTTGCTTATTGAATACCATACAAGACGCCTTCCTTTGATCCTATTGGCAACGGTCATCTTTGCACAATTGCTTGATGCGCAAGGTGACACTCACGATTCATCTATTCCTGGATACAACAGTCCACCCGTTCAAGGAGCGTTGTTAACAGGTCCCTTGGGTGAGCCATCGTCATTGAACCAGCTTCAAGTCCCAGTGGTCCCACCCACACCAACAGCAACAACAACAACCCAAGGTTCTCCCACAAATGAGCCTACCGTCACTGGCACCCCTATTACAACGACATCACCTACAGCTACTGAAACAGCCCATTCAACTACATCCACTACCACTAATGCACATGGTACCACAACCCCATCAGCCACACATGGTCCCACAAGTGATGCATGCATGTTAAAGAGTGTCTTTGGTGTCTACTCTATCATCTACGTTTCCATCTTTCTTTTTATGTATGCCATCGTTTAACCTGTATCGTGCTATGCAAATAAAAGAGTGTCTTCCTTTTATATCCAAAATAGTACTTGCCACTATGTATGGCTTTCAATAGGCTGTATTCTTTTTATGTATTACGACCGATTCCAAATACGAGTGCGTTATTGAATTCTACGTTGGGACCACATTTCTGTTCCTTCTCGCCTGAGTTTTTGGTATCTAATCACAACTTAGATCAGTATATACGCTCTATCGTGGCTATTGTCTCGTACATACGTTCATGAACTTTGCAAATGGGGTCCTTGGCGCAGTCGGCGATAGGAATGGGTTTACAATATTTGAATTTGTCACTCAAACTCATCTTTGCGCAGGAGGCAGTGCTGACAAAGGCAATGGCAAAGGTGGCAAGGATAATGGATTTCATGGTGAAGCAATGAAAATGAAAAAGACGAGCGACCTCATCTTTGTTCATTCAAAAGTATGGCAATAGGGAGAATCGCCATCGTTTAGGGAGACTCATAAAAGCTTAAAAAGAGAGTGACCAGCGGCGTTAAAGATTCCAAATGGCAATGATGATACTCGAAATAGGGGGTTACATCCTGTACTTTCCGATATGATGCTACTACTCAGAAGATGTCTGGTAGCTTCGCATTTACAATGACCCGATGCCGGTCTATTACTGATAAAATTAGGTGGGTTGTAGGAGTACTCTAAGGTTGACAGGCATTGCATACGACTCAAATACGCCATGGTGCATGATGATGAATGTAATTCTCACGGCCCCATCCAGTGCCCTTTCCAGCGTCGATGTTGTCTCTTAATATGGCTGATGATTCCAAAGATAGCACATTTTATATAAAGGCAGGTTTTGAATAGTGCTGTTGTTCCTCTGCGACATGAATTGAAAAATCATAGGGTATGATCCAAAGCATATATACATGGAGGTTACACCAGCTCCCAATGTTTGTTATGCATTTATTCATACACCTTGCAGCCATTACATTTCCTTTTTTGTGCGCCACATACACGTACCTTTCATGCAGGGGTGAATGTATCGCCATCACGGGTAGCTTGCTTCACATAGACAACATCCATCGTTGTTATCAATTAAAATTGTATGATCATCCCACAACGAAGCTACCATTATCATATGGAGAAAGGAGAGTATGCTGTTTGCACTCTTTGGCAAGCATTGGCTGATCCATCCGAAAGTAAGGGCGTAAACATGCATATGTCAGCGGCAATGTTGTCGATCATTGTTTGTCAAAGACTATTGCATGGATTCTTCTTTCTTTCATATGTGCACGGAAATGGTCATGTTTTTTGCTGTGCGTCTCATGGACCTTGAACGCCAGGTCTTTTTTATGCATGCGATGCGATGTTACATTCCTATATAGCAAACAGCGCTGTGGGGTATATAAACAGCTCGTTTTCAAAGCTGTCTTTTACCTACCCATCATCTTTCAAAAATGAAATCCACTTTTCTCTTTGTCATTGCCGTCATGTTGTTCAACGCAGCCTCTATTCATGGACTATCCTGTTTCAGTCTTGATGAATTCGAATGCAGAAGAGCGACTGCTTGTGTGTGGGAAACATGTGTGTATAGAAGAATCAATGATGTGTGATGATGACGTGTATTAACTTCAGCTGTTGCTACATATTTCTCTAGACAATGATGGCAGCCAAGAGTGCAATATCCATGAAACGGATGATTAGTAACAAGACATAGAATAGCCAGCCACACCAACGTGTGCTTTTGCTTTCCATTAAAGAGTCCTTTTATACCCTATAGAGGCATATCATGTTTGCTCAAATCTAACACATCTCACAGCGTAAATGATTCATCAATCGGTTTATTTCAAGTATCAACATTATAAACATGGCTTTCTACTTCGCTGGTGCCATAACCACGTGGGGGTTGTAGACCGGCATCCGCTGCTTGTCTCTCCATCTCTTCAATCATACAAAAGTCGTACGCGGTAGGTTCGATGTCCTTGCAATTATACTCGCTTTGCAATACGATTTTTTGCCTGCATCACCATACTTCTCCGCGTACTCGTCAACTTTTTTTTTGCGTTTCAGGATTGAGGGCATGCCCACCAGCAGCAGCAGATGTTGACGTCGTATCGCCGGTAGCAGTTACACCGAGCATAAACATAGTAGCAAGGAGGGCAAAGAAGATGAGAAGCGCATTGTAATGAAAGAGATGGCACGCATTACAAAAAAATTGGTCGCTCTTTCTTTTATATACGCTAGCTTACAGGCTCTCCTTGATGTTGGGAGAGAATTTTGCATGCATGCATCAAATCTGAGCTTGACCTCTTATCAGAATATACAGATTAAAGCAGCAGCCATACCATCATCCGCTTCAAGAATTCCATTGACCCCCATCAATATCTTTTTCATGGTTAAAGATGTTACTTTATTTGGAAGTCCATTACACTATACAGCAAGGCGAAACGGCTCCATCCTTCCAAATGCCCTTACCCAATAACTTGATCCAACCATGTAAACAAGTGATCTCTTTGCTCAAATACATACCAAATCTCATCCCCCTTGAGCAAGCATATCCGAACGATCCATCATCCAAGCTATTTCGTTACCCGCAAATGGGCCGCGCCATCAGACAACGTCGTAACCAGGCAATAGAAGAGGATAAGTGATGCTTGAAGAATTACCTGTTGATAATGATGGTGAGAAGCTTGAGACAAGTAATGATTGGTTGGCCCATACCAAGATTGTCCATCATCCCATTCAACGTACCAAAGCCTTGTAACCATGGCAAAGTGCATGTAGGCACGTTGTAAGAGGCCTTTTGTTGTTGGCAGCACACTTACGCATAATCCATAGCCTTGTTGCGTACCTTTGGACTAGCCAAGCTGCGCACAATGAGCTCCAGGATTTTTGGCAACGTGAGGTTGTTGACGATTGTCGTTCAGTGGAGGTGTCATTGTCAACGGTGCAAGTGAATAGCGTTGTGCAGAAAAAGTAGCTGAAACAAGGAGCAAGCAAAGTGGTGACGCGTAACCAAGAGGCAATTGCTGGCTGAAGAATGGGTTGATGGCAAAAGACCAATGAGAAATGTGGAAGATAGAGCTGCAACAAAGCGTAGAAGGTAGTCGCTGGAATAAAGGAAACCGAGCGGCTTTGCTGACTGGGAGCATTTATGCTGAAATGGGACTTGGGCTTGTATCCTTGTGCGACCAATTACGTTATACACCTATGACACTACATCTCGTATGCATCCATGCTGGTTAGCCACTGGATGAGGTTACTGAACGAGTGATCGATTATAAAATAGCGCCTTAAAACGACAACTCCTTGCATGTTCTTGCATACGTATGCATACCGCCATGAGGAACATTGCGGTGGATGGATGGATGCACATACATCAACAACAACAGCGTTACATAGCACATTGATAAAGAAAATGGATGGTTGTGGACGCTCTTTTACATTGCTTGATTCCGCGGGGCGTAAACATGCGTTATACCAGTCGCAATGCTGCCGATCATTGTTTATCAAACACCACGGCATAGAATTTTCTCTTTCATCCCGTTAGCCATTTGCCGCATGAGGTACGAGACGTTGCATTATCGATAAAACGAATCATCATCGGCTATATTAAGCTAAGCTTTTGTCGTTGTCTACCTACTATCCAACATCCTTTACTTCCAAGATGAAATCCACTTTTCTCTTTGTAATGACCATCATCGCCAACGCAGCTGTACTAGCATATGTACCTTGTCAGGGACTTAAAGAAGCAGCATGCAGGGAACGCAAGGATTGCCTCTGGGAAAGATGTACGGTTGAATCAATTAGTTTTTACGATGATGATGATGTGTATTAACGTCAGCTGTTGCAATTTCGTTAGACTATGGCGGCACTGCAGCTTGCGAAGACCTCGAGGCTAGCGCTGATTGATATTTGTAGCGCTGGAGGACACCAACGTGAGACCACTAAAGAAACCCTTATTCTTTTCAAGGACGCATCATCCTACCATGGCTTCGCGTATATGAATAAATGGATTTATTTCAAACAAAAACGTTACGTGCATTCATTTCTAGTCAATGGCAGGAATCCCTTTAAAGTGTAGGTACGGGCAGACCGAGCTCGTATGCTTGTCTTCTGATGTCATCAATGATACATGTGTCGTAATTGCCTGCTTGGGCAGCCTTGCAATTATTCTGGCTTGTGTTTAGGATACTTTTGCCTTGTTCACCAACATTCACCAGGTATCCCATCACTTTTTTCTCCGTTTCAGGGCTGAGAAGAGGACCATCAGCAGCAGGTGGTGTTGACGTCGTATCGCCGGTAGCAGTTACACCGAACATAAATATAGCAGCAAGTAGTATAAAAGAAGATGAGAAACGCATTGTAATGGAAGAGATGGTAGGCATTACAAGATATTTGGACGTCTTTTTATATACGTTGGCTTACTTGGTTTCCTTGATGTTGGAGAGGAGTTTTGGGCACAAACGTAAAATAGTTTTAGTGATCCGCCTTATAGAGACTCCCTAAACTCTACCGCATGCATCAACTCTGAGCTTGATCGCTTACCAAAATCTACGGTCAAAAGCGGTGGTACCAGGTACATGAATATTGGATTAAAGCAGCAGCCATATCGTCATCCGCTCCAAGAATACCACTGGCCCCATTATTTCTTTTTCATCGTTAAAGCTGGATACTTTATTTGAAAGACCATTACACTACACTACACAGCAAGCGAAATAACACCATCCTTCCAGATGCTCTTACCGATTTCCTGTAACTCAATCCAACATGTATACAACTACATACCCGATTGCTCAAATACATACCAAACCTTATTCGCTTTGAACAAGCATATCCAAAAGATCCATCATCCATATCTAGCTCATCACCCCAAAGGGTCGTCACCACCAGACGACGTGGTACGGGCATCGGAAGAAGAGGAGAAGTGATCTTTGAAGAACTACCTGTTCAAGAGACGATGATGATGGTGGTGAGAAGCGTGAAGCAAGTGATGATCGGTTGAGCCATACCATGGTCTCATATATATAAGCACTTGACAATACCAGCAACTACCTCATTGTGTATCTAGGCAAGTTTGAAAAGAAGCCTTTGGTTAGTGGCAGTACACTCATAACCCATAGCCTTGTTGCGTACCTTTGGACTAGACAAGCTGAACAAGAACAGCACCACAATCTCGAGCACGGGTAAACTGTTGATATCGTTTTTCACGGGAAGTGTCATTGCCAAGCGTCCAAGTTGTTTAACGTGGTGTAAGAGAGAGGAAGCCAAAACGGGTACATGCAAGCAATGGACCACCAAAAGATGACACGTGACCAAGGAGACGAATGTCGGCCGAGGCCAATTCTGTTGACGCATGGCGAACGAGGAATGTCGACAATGGGTGGTTGCAAGTATAGAACGCGGTTGTTGTTGTTGTCCATGTGCTATCTTGAATGCAATTCCTCTTTAACCATATCCTTCCTACGCAACCGCATGCCCCTCTAAAACAACATCGTACCAAAGGTCCATCATCCCAAACATACCTTATCATCATCAGCCCGAAGAATCATCACCCATCCATCCATGACTTGATCACCACGTATACCAGTACTCAGCACTATTCGTTCAACAATGGCACCATCCGATAACGTCCCGAGAGAAACGACCCGTGATGATTGAAGAATCATCTGCTGAAGAAAAACAACATGATGATGACGATGATGAGCACCTTGAAACAACTATCCACTGTTGGACCATACATACCAGCATTGCCTCCCATCACACTCCAATAACCAGCTCATGTAACCGTATCAAAGTACCTGCATCAAGACGCCTTCGTTTGTTGGAAGCAGATTCGTATCCCATGCCCTTGTTGGGTACTTGTGGAGTTGTAAAGGATGACCTAGCTCAGCACGAAGAGCTTTGAGCACAATGAGAGGACCGCCATTGTCGGCATTTGTTTTTGGTGTGGAGGCAGCTTTGTCGATAGTGCAAGTTGTTTAGCGTGGGGTAAAAGACGAAGCTGAAACAGATACAGGTAAGCGAAGAGCCACCAAAAGAGATGACGCGTAACCAAGGAGACGAATGTTGGCTGAGGCCGATTCTGTTGGCAGATGGCAAACGAGGAATGTCGACAGGGCGTAAAAGACGTCGTTGTTGGAATAAAGGGAATGAAGCCGCTTTGTTGACTCGGAGCATTTCCAGCATGGCTGGATACAAGGTGTCCTAGGTCAGGTGACAGCCCTCTGGTGACACATGGTTGGCCAACCCAATATCGTATTCGCCTTCCATCCGACATCCTTTAAAAGAGGCACAAGATTACTCTCCAATGTGAATTCCATTGATTTGATCCTTTGGGCGTGGATTGCAAAGATGGATGGATGGACGTGAGGTGACGCTTGGAGCTGATGGCGAATCATATGCATGGCGGGTCAAAAACATGGATGATGATGGTTGTATACGGTTGCCAGGTTGCAGATGAAGGAGGATCGTAGTAGTTGCATGAATCGCGTGTGTAAAGTACGATGATTGGATGCATGAAGCCCTCTGGATGATAACGTCAATGTCGACGTTGACAATGGATAAGTAAGAACAATGGCTCTTTTTCCACGCGTTGTTCGTACACGGATCCTTCCATCCCATGTACATACCAAAGCTATATTCAGAATCCATTCCCATAAAGATAAAAAGTCGTGTGTATTGGAGCAAGTTGCTGCACGTAAATAAAGCTGCTTTTTTACAATGGCTATCCGCTGTTCACGTAATAAGGCTGTAAGACACGTTGCTGCAAGTGAAGATTGCTGTTGGAGACAATGGAGCAAATGACAGCTGCTGTTACGGTTGGTTGTGGCAGAGGAATGAGCAAAAGAGTGCGTAGTACCAAGAAAAGCAGGTGTTGCAGTAGAGTGACAGGGTTGTGTACACGCGATGGACTTGCCATTCAGTCAAAGACAATCGGATCAAGAGAGTTGTAGGATTGACATGATGGGTTGAAGCGGACAATCGTTCGCAGGTGGTAGTTGTATACTTGAATGGGCCAACAGTTGAGAAGGGGAGGAAGAGGGAAGAAGCTGAAGTAGAAGAAGCGGAAATTAAATGGGTTGGACACCTCTTGTATAGATGCATGAACACTGTGCATCAATCCTGATATTGAGATTACCCCTCTCGAACCTGAAACCTTCACACAAGATGCTCTTGGTCATGCTGAGCACGTTGATCTAAAAAAGACATCATGTTTCATTTGAAAAATTGGAATGGGAGGGTGCAATGCGGGTTTACTATGTAAGTTGGAAACGGAGGTCAGCGCCGGATTCATGATTTATCGAAATAGTATGTATTATCCTTGGGTTCCCCATTTCGAACATGAAACTGGGTAAGCAGGTTCGCTGGGACATGTTGATCAACTTAATTCATTTAAAAGTCGTAGGCTTCATTATCAACATTAAAAATGCGGCGCGTCCCAAGATGAGAAAGACGACGATTAAATGGAAAACAAGTAGCATGCTCCCGAGATTGCCGATACCAAGCCCGAAACTTGGCCACATGATGCTTTCGGACATGCTGATCAACTTTGTTCTAATAAAGGTCGCCATGTTCATTATGAACATTATGAGTCGGGGGAGGGAGGGTCCAAATGTAGGGTGATGATCGGACGGGGGAAAACCAAAAGTTTATAGAGAAAAGCAAAGCAACAAAGTAGGGCCGCTCATCGTCATCGTGATTATGTAATATCTCTTTTTAGCATTCTCATTCAAAAAGGGAGACAACGATCATTATGTAAGCGTGCAACAGGGGATCCCCTCGGAGAACATTCTAGTCATCCGCACGTGCTTTTTTAACCCGCTGCATAAAATAAACCAGCTGCATGAATGACACAAAAGAACGTTTATTGCCGTCTAAGTCTACTATTCCCAGGTACGTATGAAGCATCATCATAATGCTTTATCAACCTTTCAATCTTCTGGTACACGTATTGGTATTCTTCAGCTGATGCCTTCTTTCTTTCTTTCCAGCAAACGGGTCAAACCAAGAGACAACTTGGTTGCATCCCCTTGTGTAGCGGCTATGCTTGGAGCTTCAGGTACATCATGTTGACTTGGACCATCATTAGCAACTCTTGGGCATGTGGATGATGAGCTGGCAGCAGCGTGGGAACGAGAAAAGTTTTTCGGTGGCTTGATGTTGGGATGAAAAGCTCACCAGGAAAATGTGCTTGCATGGCAACGGCTTTTTCTCCTCGTATTGCATACACGTACACGTAGTCTTATCTTTCTCGCAAACAACCTAGGTAATGGTAACTTCCATTGAGCAAGAGAATTAACACATACCCTATTTGACTTACAGTGTACGAATCACCCTCCATCTGGAACGAGGACAACCACGAATCTATTTCCTTGAGGGCTATGAATCAGGCTTGCACCGTCTACCAGCTTCGTGAGTTAGCGATATGGTCCCCACTCTTGTCACTATCAACAGCATGTTATCTTACATACCAGCCATGTTTTCTACAGCAATCTTTGCCTTGTTGCGCTGCTCACAGATGTATCGACCTTTCTTGCACAGCCTATTCAGCTCATACTGCAAGTCGACATTGATCTCTTCCACCAGCTTGTGTATCAATGTATCAAGACGTCGGGTGGGATAACGATTCAAGTACACTGATTTCAGCTGGTTGTGCCAAGTCTCGACATAGTTGTTGGTATCCATGGTGTCGACCCCACCCATGGGGATGTAGCCTCTGGAGAGGGGTCCAAGAACTCCTTTTGGTGGTCCTCCTCTTGCGCGTTTTCGGATCTCTTGGAGACGACCGGACACAGGATAGGGTGCTATTCCATGCACGAGATACATGCCATGCACAGGCAGGACTTTATGTTGATATGATTGCCCCATGCAAGCCGCATTTGTCTTTCCACCGTCAAATTGCAGCCGATGGTGATGGTTCCAATCCCTTTGTGGTCCAGGATACATGTAAGTAGTGGAGAGGTTGGTGATAAGGTAAGCAAATGGGGAAACGACGCCATGCTGGGTGATGATGGTATACATGACGACGTTCTTGCCAGTGATATCATGGGTGGCGGCGTCAAGGTGTACACCACGAGCTCTAGCAAAGGAACTCTGTTGCCAGGTTGTCGAAATGCATAAAGCATGCTCGTTGTCATCCAAGTCGCTGTAGTAGCCAAAATTCCCTTCATCTATGTTATCATTCAAATCTATATACATCCAACAAATAAATACCACATACCTGTGATGACCCACTCTTTAGCAGACTCGTGTTCATTATTGTGTCGACGTGTAGCCTGGCTTTGCAACTTGACGCATTCGTTATACACATCGTCCGTGATAATGTAGGCATCCCGGCTTTTCAAGTCTTGGGTTATAGGAAAACGTCGAAAGTAATCCCTTACAGCGCGCACGGTTTGGCCTTCAGAAAGTCTTTGTACAAAGGCCTTGGATCTTGGATATCGCTTACTGCGTCGAATCTGCAAGGGTGGGATGTCCTTTTTGAAACTAGACAAATGAACAATGTCCTTCAAAGCCTTCTTGTCTTGAGTTTTGCCATCTTCTTTTAATGACGTGGCGTCAAGGAGTTGCTCGTTTCTTGTGCACCACTGGTTAAGCAGCACTTTGGGTTTTGTATGATACATCCAAGAGTGGAAAAGTGAAGGAAAAGGAATAACCACAAAAGAAAGGCCACTGTACTTTTATAAGCACACTGCTTTGTTGCCATGGAAGTAGGGGGGGTAATTCTTTGTTTATGTTTATATCTGTCACACATGCATGTGTGCCACACACACACACCCGTATCACCGAAGTGCATCCAACTTTTCTTTTTGTATCAAGGTATGTATGCAAGTCGCTGCGTTGATCCAATGAGTTAAACTCTTTTGTCAGTACAAGAGGGTTGCATGGCCCTGCTAGTACTAGGCGCCTTGACCAGTATCGTTCATTTGACGGGTGTCTCCCTTACATAGATATCAACAATAGCCGCGTTTCGCATCATAGAGCTTTCCATGACGTTTTATCATTTACGTGTCACGCTTTATTTACAAGAAAGGTCTGTTAATCATAATCGTGGGATGCTTTTTTTTTATTTTCTTATGCATAGGGATAAACATGGTACTAGAGGACGCTATGTATATAACATCCCAAACAATACATGGTATAGCATGGTGACAATGTTTACAATAAAGATCCCGCCAAGGTTGAAAAGCTTTCAAATTGTTTGAGAAGCATGACTTTGACATCCGGTCTCTCTTTTTTGAAATGTTTGAGGTCAAGCGAGAATGCTGCATTTTCAGGGTATAATGCCAAACACTGTAGCTGTGGAAAAAACACCAACAGAGGGTCGAAAAATTCAGCTGTGGCACCGTAGCCAACGGGAAGTGTGAGTTGCTTAAGCTGTGGGAGCTGTGAAAGGCATGTCAAGGAATATTGCACTGGTACGTTCTTGCATTTGATTTCAAGCCGTGTTAAATGCCGACATCGTTTGGCGAGTACTTGAAGATAATGCTCCATGTCGTACATGTCGCGAGAAAATCCAAGGATCAAATGCTGCAAATGATTGAGTCCAGCGGCAGCCTTCACTGTCTCTTCAGTAGTAATGTCATATGTGGCACAGTTTGAGTGAATCACCAGGGTTTCCAATGGACATGCTTTTTGTATAAGACGACAAAGATAGTCTTTCAAGTCTGCATGGCGATTCCAGTTGTATGTGGTATCCAGTCGTATCCCCAGCATTTTTAATTCGGGAGGTGTGGTGTCGAGTACAGCAGGATTGGACATGATGACGTTGGCTGTTAAATGCAATTCTTCAAGGCATGGAGCTGATCCAGAAAGCCACCATCCAAAACAGGGATCCGATTGACTCATATGATGCAAAGAGAGCTTCTTGAGGCAAGGAAAAGGTACGTTGGTGATTGGATCATCACCATCATCATCATGCTTGGAAATCGTGACATTCAATTCGATTCGCTCAAGTGTGTTGTGGTGTTGATTCAATAAGCCATGCACATCATTCCAAGAGTACCGGGTTGCTTGTGTACCACAAAGATAAAGTCGCTGCAGACCTTTCCCATCCATGTGATCGTCACTTTGAGATGCATCCTCAACACACGGAAGAATGGTACCAACAACGCATATCCCAAGCTCAAGTGATTTCAGCAATGGACAATGGTGTTGAATCATAAAGATGGATCGTGGATCAGGACAGGGATTTAGTGCAAGATGCTTGAGTGATGGAAATCGATGCAACATTGCTAGCACCTTGTCACAGCTAATTTGTTTCAGTGTACAGTCCAGTCGCAACGTTGTCAGATTCGGGAATAAGGTTGCCCTTGGGAGTGATTGTAAATCGATATCGTAGGCTTCAAACACTTGCAACGATATCAAATGGGGACAAATCACCAATAGACTGGGTACGGGTGGTGTGTATCCATTCGGTAGAGAAATCGATAAATGGGTCAACGTGCTGCTGATGTAGGGCAATGCTAAACGCATATGTGTATAATCATAGTCGATGAAAGCTACATGAATCCAAATGCGTCAGATTTACGTAAAAACGATCATTGATCATTGACAACCATACCATCAATACGAAGCTCTCTTAAGGAACGTAGATCGGTATTACTCAAAACATCTCGTAGCCATTGGCCTGTTGAACATCTGGTAACACGCAATGACGTTGCATACTGGGAAAGCTCATTGAGCTGGTGGTATGTATAATCCTCTCGATCCGTAAAAATGATAAAACTCAATGCACCACCGCTTGCTTCAATGATCCGATCACGCCATAAACGGGACACGTGCAAATAGGGACAAGGTATCATGGCATCCAATAGTGTATCTTGTATAGGATCCTTTACGTTGTCATGCAGGACCATCAATAAGGTGCCCACCCAAAGTACAGTAATAATGCTCTTGATAGGTGCAGATAAAAAGGGATGATCTTTGTTTCACAAGGTTACACAAGGGTCGGTACTGTATCATCATCCGCAAGAAGCATTGGTCTCATTCAGGGACATTGTGCAAAAATGAGACATGGGCGAGATGTAAAATCAGGTTTCTTTTACTCTGGCGTTGCCTAGCAACCATTATCATTTGCTTCCTACATCCATCTCTCTCACGCATCCCATAACTCGGTTGAATCCACGACATGCGTTTACCTCCATGATGATGGCTTGAGCTTTTCCTTTGTAATCAAGGGTAATATAGGGATAGCGCCACACTTTTATGTGTGTAGCGTATGTAGGCATTTCCCAGCTTTGAAATAATAATCCGCTTTTGCGTGTATATATTTTCCATGGCAACCCTGTGTATAATCTCCAATGTGGCATAAATACATGTATCATTGAGATGATGATCATGGCGACGGTTGTGGCGGATGTTTCCAAAAATGGGCAAGTCCAATCCGCTGTGGGGGTTAATTTCATTTTAGCTGAGCACCATGCATCGTTATTCTGCTTACACGCAACGAGACACACGCACACACACGCCAAGCAACAGTTTACAACAAAGCTTGTCTACAATTCAACAACACGCATGCCTCAGTCCAAGCAATGCAGCATGTCAAGCTTTAAGCATGGTGTCTTCCGATGGGCCAAGCGCGCCAACCCTGATGCTGCTCTTCATGGCGAGCATGGCGGCAACCGACGACCCACTTTGAGGTACTTTTATTTGATAGCATATGGGGTAGACAATAAGGCACTCAATGTTGTTGTTGATAGGAAAATCCTGGATTACGCCAAATTGAGAAACAGATCCAAAAAAGAGGATGATGCTATGCAACGCTACAGTAAAGGGATCGACTTTGTTGGTGAACTTCCAGTGGACATTGTTATTTCAAAACTCATTCCAATGTTCATGGATCATTATATCGATTCATGGGGTCCATGCGAGTACTTGTATGTGTCGAAACGATGGCGGGATCGGATTGTTCAATGTTTCCAAGGATTGCATTTTTGGGTGCCTGATGAGGAGGAGCGTACGCAGCGATGTTTACAACTTGTTCAATTTCCTCAGTATGCAAAGGCATTACGCGTTGAATGGTACGGCAGATGGTGGATGGATGATTTATTACGTGAGCTCAACCTTTGTTCATTACGAGAGCTTGTTGTGAATGGTAAGTGATCGCTTCATTTATGTGATGCCTTGGATTAACAACCTTTGTTAAAAAAAGGGCCGGATGATACCATGGATCGTTTTCTGCCAACATTGAGATCGTTCAGCAGGAACCTGAGGCATCTTACTATTGACCATTTGCATGTATCCTTATACGACCTCTTATTGGCTTGCCCCAAACTCACTTCCTTGACCCTATCCGTATACTATCATGTCACTTTCGACTATATCGGATTGACAACATGGCCCACTCTCACAGCACTCTCCATCAGCCATGTATCGGGACCTATTACGTGTGATGAAGTGACACTCATTTGCAAGAGTTTTCCTGCACTCCAAAAGCTTGAACTTCGTTCATGTGCTGATATTCAATGTGTACTCGTTGTCTCAGAATCTTTTCCCTCTCTCACGTACCTTTACATTTGTGTCTACAGCAATGCTGTCAGGATAAAGTTTTTGGATCAAGGACGGCAACAACATGCACAAGGGATAACGCATCTCGATATTTGCGGTTCTACACAGCCAAACATCACTTGCAAAGATATCTTTTCCTTATTAAAAAAGCATCATACAACACTTGAGCGGCTGAATTGGGGGATGAGACTTGACAAGGATGATTATGACGTGTTCAGCTTGGTGTATCCTCGTCTCACAAAACTTTTACTCGGCTGTTCAGGATGGTGGATGTTACGTAACGCTCCCTTGCTTGAAGAATTGTATATAACATGCGACACTATCAAGGAGCATCCTGCTGTGCTTGGTAGGATACCAGCCAATCTGCAAAAGTTAAGGATGGACATTACTTCCTACTCCCCATTCCCATATATGACCTCCATCACACGCTATTTCAGACGCTACCATGCTCGAGCATATTCTTTGAGCCAGCTTATTATATATACACGCAAGATGAAAGATGTCGAGATGATGCTTGAAAGTATTTGTCACTTGAATCAACTTGATCGTTTGATGATCCAGTATTTGAATTGGGACGTCACCCAAATGGAAATCTTTATTGACCAACTTGCCAACGGATGTCGTCGTTTATCATGCCTCAAGCTCTTTTCTCGGACAATGCCATCACCACATGCTGTCAATGCATTGAAACAACTTGAACACCTAAACCACTTTGCATTTAAGATTGAAGAAAAGGATCCTACAGGCGGCAAGTTTTGGGATGCCATTGAAACATTGACACAAATCAAGTGTATTGAGATTTATTGCATAAAGACGTTCCAGCTTTCGGAAATGAGACGCGTCAAGGGAAAAAGACCAGACATGGAGATGATTATTAACAGGGATGCCGTACCCTTTTGAATTGGCTTATTAAACACCTATGATACCGCACTCCTTTCCCTATGACAATACTCTACGATGACCCCATTATCTTTGTCACCCATATATGCTTATATCCGACCCTTCAATTATCGTGATGTTGACGCTTTTAATAAATAACCTCCATATGTTGACGTAGATAATTAGCTATTGAATCGGGTACAGGGAAGCAAAGATAAACACGTTGTAGTCTAGGGAAGTTGCCAAGATGACGTAATTCATGTTCGGATAGACGACTGGCACCAATGTATAAAGTCTTGAGATTTGGATGTGTATCAAGAGCAGCAATGAGACCCTCATGGAAATTGGTAATGCTATGGCCGAGCGTCAACTCTTCCAATGCGGGACATCCTTTACCAAGGTTGCTTAAGAAAGGTCGCCAATCAGCCGTAAAGTAATTCGCCGACAGGTCCAGCTTTTTGAGGTATTTCAAATCGCACACCAAGGGTAACCATGCAATGTTGGAGATTTGAGCGGTAACAAAGTCGATTTCAATGTGCTTGAGCATTGACTTATCTCCCAAAGCGGCATGATGTTGCAAGAGGGGCCCAATAACACCATCATCCACTAACCCTGATGCCTCAATGATATCGAGTGTTGTCAGGTGTTTCAGTTGCTTCAATCCTCGTACTGTATCCCTGATCAAGATTGATTCCGGAACGCTCACTGTTTCAAGAAGGGGCGCATTCTCCAAAACCCACTGTAGACAAGGTACTGCTGAATACTCTTCCACTGCTACACGCACCGTATGCAAGTTTGGCAAGGATAACGGTACCACCAGGTTGTCATGCTTGACTGCCACCAACTTGCCATCCATAAAATCCCAAGCGCTGTGACCATAGGCGGCAATATCCAGACTCATATCCAATACCTTCAATGACTTGTGATGTTGAAAAAGAAACTTTATCAACTCGTCTTGATCCAATGTCTCGCCTTCACCCATGCCAGCGAATGTAATACCTTTTTCTTTGACATCCACCCTAGGGATATCAAATCCGGTTTCCATCTCACGGCCATACGAAATCGTTCTTAAATGTGGGCATTGCTGTGATAAAAGAGGCAAGATGCTTGAATCCTCGGGCATAGGCCAAATCTCAAACGACACCAGATTGGGAAACAGGCTCAAGATACGGGCTATGTTGTTCTTTTCAATGCTCTCTGAAGACCAGCTGTGTAATCGAAGATGGGTCAATCGTGGGTACTTTGATGATGATGGCGGCGGCGGCATGAAAGCGTTCACGTCTTGGAATTTCAAAAACGTCAAATTGGGGCAGGTTCGCATGATATCACATAAACGAAGCGATGAATTGTAGCCGATATCCAAATGCGTCAATGTATCCGCTACCATAGCCAAACCTCTCAATTGGGATTCGTTCGTCTCACCTATTTATACGTCCCTTTTGAGTTTCCCATTCTCCTTGATCCATTCCTATATACTTACTGCCTAGCTTTAACTTTTTCAAGGATGAAAACTTGGCTCGTGAAAAAAGATGAACCAAATGCTTGTTCATCCTGACAATCAGATCCAACGACGTGACGTAGGGAGCAAATTGAACCAGTTGCTCATGGCCTTCACGGAATGTACGGAGCTCATAATCCACCTCAATGCTTAAACCATGTTCGAGTATACGTTGCTGCCAAGTATCAGACACGTGGAGATAAGGACAATACCCCGTGGATGATAATACGGTGGGCATGAATCTTGGTACGATATAGGTCGAGACGACATCCATAGGCAATTGGCTGATAAAGTCGATACGCTTGTTGCTCATGGTCTTTGCGGCTATGCGTTGCTGCTGCAGGTCATGATAGTGTGGATCGGATGATGATGATGATACTTCAAGACCCTTGTCGTATATGGCAACAGCAGCTTCAGAGCGACCTTGTTGACATAAAACATCACCTTCACAAAGGTAACCAAGGGCTGACGTAGGTCGTATTGTCTGCATCGCAGCTGCATCGCGTAACGCGGCTTCAAACTGGGCACTGTTGGCTAACAGCTTTGCTCGATCATGAAGAGCGCTGTACAATCGGGATGCGCTTTGTTGTATAATGTCGGTGGCTGCTTCAATCTGCTTGCTGTTCTTGCATTCATGGAGACGAATTGTTTTCGGGTCTTGTAATAGATCGGGAGAAGCTGCGCTGTCTTTCATGGGTGCGTGTATGTGTGTGTGTCGGAAGCAAGGGCCGCGGCCTACAAAAAACATCCCGCGAGTTTTCCTCTAATAAAAGCGTTGGTGTAACCACGTCTGATGATGATGATTCCCTATGACCCCTTTGATGTCCTTTCCCATTGTATATATATTTGAAATGCATGATGCATACTATACCATTCAAATACAGTATTCGTTAAGGGTGGTTGGTGATCATTTAGCTGTTGTGAAAGGTGCTTTTTACTATGCTTGTTGATGATGAACCTGCATTAAGTGGTACGAAACATTATGCAACTCTCTTTCCAAATGCGGCGTGCACACAACAAACAACCATATCAAAGCTATACATCTTCTGAGCTTATCCACCGCCCTAACAACCTTGCTATTCCATGCAGCTATGATAGCAAGGTACACGTGCTCTTTTACACCACTCATCCTACCCTTGTCCAAATCCAACTTGCTAACTGCACAATCATCATCATCCTGATAAGCACTAAATGAAACACCCATCTTGAGTCGCTACAACGGGGTATTTATTCATGAAGCTTCGTCCCATAACAACAACTATCCTCGCAATAAGCATCCGATCCATCACCTGATAATTTGGAGACCCTGCGATGGGGGATCACAATGCCAAAAGGCTAATGGTTGTGGATGATTGGTTTCCTTCCTTGACAATAGTGACTAAGACAACATCCTTTTTGACGCTTCTTGAAATAGATACAGGCTTGCTCGCTAGAAAACAGGCACGGGCATGCCCACTTGGATGAGGTGTACCGTTGTTAGGCCACCCATCATCATCATCATCATCATCACCAATCCCACTTCACTTACCAATTATGGCATGTGGGTATCATGGTACTTGCTTCTTCTCCTTCAAGGGTGTCTCAAGAGTATCTCAGACAAGTCGGCACCTTGGCAACCGGAACCTCATTGCGAGTGGCGCATTCCAGAAAACTTTTTGTTTACAATTGCTGTACTAGATGGAGACAAGGAATGAGTAAACTGGTACCTGTGTACCTGTGTACTCTTGTTGTGCCTACCCAAGGTGTGTATGCAACTCGTACGGAGGACAGAGTGAATAGCCGCCGTGTGGCGGGGCTTGAGCAATAATGAACACGCCCAAAATGGATGCACATGATCTCATCATGCTATCTACAAAAGACTATTCATCATTGGGAAAAATATAATGACCCTATCCGAAAACATAGCCTGGCTCTTGATCTTTGTGTAAATAACGCAATATGGCGTAATGTTCACTTGCTTGCAAAAGATACAAGTGCCCTTGTAGCTGCATAGATACCATGCATGGGCTTTTCTGGTGCAAGGGAGGGTGATCAAGCACGAGGCTGTTTCTTGCTTTTCCTTACATGCATGAGGGATGATGGAAATTTCTACTTGTAGGGCATATGCATGATTACGGTGCGATCCATACCGGGGATGTAAAATTCTGTATCGTTTGGACCCCCCAATTACTTTGGTGTCAGGGATTCCTGTGCGGGTTCAAGTAACTCTATTTACGACAACTGACATCTCATCATCATCATAATATTTTTTTATTCATGATGATTGAATATAGATATTGAGTATTCGAGTAAGCTCTATTTGACAATTCATGTCGTTTCTGCTAACGAACACGGGGTGGGTGGCATTTAAGGGGTTGGAAAAGGAGTTTCATGTTCGATTGTCTCCCAACAAAAGCATTCTCTCCGCCGACATTGGCGCTAAACATGCCAACTCTTTTGACAGCATGCATCCGATCACGGGGTGCTCTTGGCATATGGTGAGACGAGTAATCCCCCTGAGGATCCCCTAATGCAGCCTCTTGACGTTGATCTCCCACCAAGTTTTTCATAAATAGGGCGAACATCATCTTGTTCTTTCTTCATCTCATCTCATCAAGTACTGGTTCTTCCTCTTTAATCACGTCAAGAAACTACCATTATGCGTGCTGTTACTCTTATCGTTGCTACCATGGCTCTTCTCGTGATCTCATCTACTACCACAAGCGCTGATGAATGTTATGACTGGTGCAATGGCCAAACTGAATGTCTATGCATGCATTGTGGTGATTGCTAAGCATATAAAGGCACACGTGATCGTCAAATCCCATGCCCTCAACGTTCAATAAATAAGCAATGCTCTCACCGCAGAGTCGCTTTATGCAGTGTTTCGCATTCGTTTCAATGGTCATACAAAGATGATGATGGTGTATACGTGTATCATATATGATTGGGGAATGATGTCGCGTGTGTGTTTATTATCTTTTCTCGGATTACCGCAAAGGATCGTTTTTCTAATTATCCATGTCATTACAGCTGCAGTATGTAACCCATCCACCCAAGGTAGCCTTGATCTCCATCAACGACAACAGACTGATATTCAAAGTATCCATGACTTTTTGTCCACGAAACATCGCATGCGTCTTAGTCCTCAATCATAGATACCAATGGCTGGTTGGTGTCAGATCTCAAAAGCATCCAAGTAGCTAACAGACCTCAACGTGGCAATAGTGACTTTGGCATTCGCGTCATGCCAGGCAACATTGAGCAGTTTGGAATTCACGAGCGACGATGCTCTTGTAACAAGGTACACAGAACAAGCTTTTCGACGCAATGGTGTACGGTGGTTGTCAATTGAGCGAGTCGCACATTGGTTGTCAGGCCGTCGATCGTAATGGGAACACTGGTAGAAAGCAGCTTGTCAGAGTGGCTGTAGTGGCGGAAAGGGGAACAAGACCCTCATGCAGAGAAGAAATCGCCTGCTCATATAATCGGGCGAGCCATGTACATAGCACAGTATTTGATTGGTCGATCACAATGGCCATCCTATGCCTCCATATCCTTCCTGCTCAACCACTTTTATATGTAATCCCACAAGTTTATATCATAAAGCACGCATAAAATAAAAACATTGATCATTGTAAAGATCCCACTCGATTGCACATGTTTTTGGTGTTGTATGTCATCATCATCATCATCGCTTACATCCAAAGTGTGCAGCTGCATGTATGTTTGTTGTAGTGCATTTCGGGACCCGTGCATATCGCGATATGCCCTAGTGCATTTCAGGATTCCGAAATGCACTAGGGCATTTCAGTCCTCAGTGCAGATACCGAAATGCACTAGGGCATTTTGGTCATATATATACCCCTTTACCATTTTATGATAGTGACACCTATATATTCAGAATACATTACCTCCTTTTGTTTGCAATACATGGATCATCTAAAACCTTTAACCTCTCCTGAAAATGACTTCCATTTGGGTTTTCCTTTGATGCGTACAAGTAATTTTGTTATCATTTTACCGGCAAGGGTATGCACCGCAAGGTTAAATAAGGTGAAAAGCATACATGTTTAAAAACTCAAGGATACAATTGGGACTGATATTTATGTATGATAAAATGATAAACTGGTAACCATAATACTTGATAGCACTACATTCATTGTATTGCGACATGCTCTACTGGGCGTCTTGATGATCTTGTTTGCCGTGTTGTATGGGATCGTGTGATACGTCTAGGACCACTTGGGCGTTTGCGTTGTGTCTTGCGCCTTTTGTTATGGCCATTGTCATTGTGGCGGTCATGGGAATTGGTACAACCCGAATGTGTTCCCCGATGGCAACCATCATTGCAATATGCGTTGATGCGTCGACATGGGCAACGATTGGTCTTACATGCAGTGGTGCAATTGCATACTTGAGGTACAGGTGGTGCTTGCGATTGGCGACTTAACCTTGCTGCCTCTCGAACAGAAATTGTTGGCGTGTTGTCGTCGATTGGTGACCTTGCAATGGATTCCAAGTCATGAAACTCGTGGTGCGTGAAATCTTTTAGCTCCCTTCCATGGTAGGCTGTTTGGATCAGGCCATGCTTGCATCGCACTTTATACTTACGACAGCTATTCTCCAAATCAACTACGTCATAAACAATGCAAGGGAGGTACCTTGGGTGACGCTTGCTTCGGTCACGAATGTCGATGTGCACTCCCACGTAGTCACCAACATGATATTGCGGAGTTGGTGGTTGCCTAGCAAGTAGCCTTTATATAACACAATGTGAGTACGTGGTGATGATGGTCTTCAATGGTACACTTACTGTTGTTGAATGGATTCTACGTTGTTGTTGTAGTGTGTTGCTGCTGCATTCCGAATGGCACTATGGCGATTGATCGAAACATCACTAAGGCTGCCACCATCTTGATGATCATCATTGCTAGTAAAGTGCTCGGAATTTGCGTGGCCATCAAACTCTTCATTTCGGGCCAATGGTTCAGTGCTTGACAATGATAAAGGTGAAGGAGGTGCAATGCCATGATCATCGTCACTATTCAAAATGTCATCCAATTCCACTGGTACACGTTCACCATTGACACCAATTCGGTAGGCATGACGAACGTTGGATCTAAAGCTGGTGTCATAGATGCCACGAACGCCGTCGGCATCTTCAATAGGTATGGTCATCAATCCACGGCCGCCGGGACCACGCAATTCGAGAAATGGGGCTGTTGCGGTGTCACCAGATTCACTGTTCGCTGTTTTGATGGCGTCATTAGTAAATCACTTGGCATGTATCCATAACAATAATACCGACTTACAGCTCGTCTCATCAATAACACCATGACCTTCCTCCACCTGCAGACGTTCTGTAGCAGTATTGGCAACAATGGCATTTGAATAGGTATCTTGTTTAATTGGTTGTGTCAATTAAAAACGAAATTTAGTATAGCATGAGCAACTTAATCCCTTACCATTTGATGCATGAGATCCACCTTCATCGTCTCCAAAGCCAATGCTGCCATCATCATCTCCAAAGTCAAGATTGCCATCATCACCATGATCGTCATCCTCTCCAGAGTCAAGGCTACCATCATCACCACCATCGTCATCCTCCGGCTCTGTATCCTCTTCTTGTGAAGAAAGCATTGTATTTGCAACATCCTGAGAACGGCTTTCGTCATCACCTTCTCCGCTTTGGTAAACTTCAACCATTTCAGGGATGGCGTCAACAGCTTCGCCATCCACCACATGTTGCCCATTTAAGGACCGGTCAATGTATTCTTGGTTAACAGTATCATCCGGGTGAGGATCTTGGCCATACAAATAGCGATACGGGGTATCACGGAGAACTCTGGTCCTTGAAGTGTTCATAGCATAAACCACCATCCCTAGACCTTCAGACCAATGTTTGGGGTCTTCCTCGGTAGCGTTTTGATTGCTAACCCAGGCGTTGAGTTTCTGCACCAGCGTTCTATTGCCACGTTCAATCAGGCCTTGCGATTGAGGATGGCGTGGTCGACCATTGATAAAGCGAAGGGTTGGCCAGTTGGATTAGAGTTCATCTTTCTAAAAAAAACATGTTGTTATCGACTCATGCATTATACATCATGCGTTGTCACTATTACCATTGCTTGTGCTGTAAACTCGCCGCCGTTGTCGCTTTGTAAAAAGATTGGAGGGCCAACAAGACAAAAAAGGTCATGTAATTTCTTGCCAACAACGCTTGATTCCTTTCGCAAAAGAGAATACGCCCAAGAGAACTTCGACCGATGGTCCTTGATATGGAGGATATAGCGTGGTAGGCCATCGGGAGTCTCATTTCCACCATAGTCAATCAAATCCATCTATAGTACAATTAACATGAATGATAAGCATTCGATACCTTGGTACTTGAGCATTACGACATACCTGAACAATTTCCAAAAAAGACGAAGCATGAATTGCTTGTGCAGCCCGCTGGGTAACGTTGGGCGCATTGGTCGTTGCACAAATGCTGCAATGGTTAAGTACAAGTTGGACAAACCTGTCTGGGCAATAAATGTAGTTCTTAAGCTATATAGATGTAGACATGTTAGGTACATTTGTAGGCATAATCAATTATCCCAAGAAATAAGTCCCAACCATCATACCTTATGCAAAGTTGCATCCCTACCACCATGACTGCAATCTTCATGTGCACGAGTGACTGTATTGTACAATTGCTCCTCGACTGCAATCATCTTTGTTTCATCACGAAGAAGAGTAACGATAGTAATACCATTCGCAAAAACGGTTAGCTTGAAACGTTCTCGCACCCAGGGACCAAATCGGTTCCCACGCTGATGAGAGTAACGGGAATCCTTAACCAAGGCAAGCAATGGTTAGCACAATTCGATAGCGGACGATTGATGGTAAGCATACCTCCAATACGCCTTTGATGTCATTATACATCTCCTGATTAATAAAGACCTTCGTTCGTCGTGTAGGTGATGCCAATGACCGGTAGTGCTCAAGGAGCTCTTGAAACTTGTTTCTTGACAGCCACGAGCACTCAGTAGTATCGCTGTTCATTTTGAATATGGCAAAGAAAGGAAGCTTGAATACGATGTTGCAATCGCTTATGCCATCAGCCGATATTTATAGCTAAACGCCGAAATCGTATTATGTAAAGTATAATATACCACTTACATGGTTTACATGCTTACGCATCACGATAATCATATGATGACTACTATTACTAGCCTAACGTAACATGAATTATCCTATTCGGGATACGATGACAAAGATTTTGTTATGTAAGGTTGTTCTCATCAGATGATATTACTTTTACTGGTAAGATGACAAAGATTTTATTATGTAAGGTTGTTCTCATCACATGATACTACTTTTACTGGCACGATGACTAAGATTTCATCATGTAAGGTTGTTCTCATGATATGGTATGGTATGACAATATCCGTGTTTCGGTGACTTATTCACGTGGTACGCATTATTACTACTTCTTTATTCATCCACGTGATGCGTAACATGTATGGAAAAGTAGCTGGTGTATGTATCCTAAAATGCCCTAGGGCGTTTCGGTATCTGCACTGAGGACTGAAATGCCCTAGTGCATTTCGGAATCCTGAAATGCACTAGGGCATATCGCGATATGCACTGAATCCCGAAATGCACTACAACATCCTTAGCACAAAGTGGTTCTGAAGCTACTTTATATGGTCTTGCACAAAATATACACATTACATACGATGGCAAACAACGTCAACATGATTTCTTAGTTATGGAATTATCAGGGAATGCACCGGTGACCATTGGCCTTGACCTCATGCCTAAGCTTGGAATTGGTATCACAGGTCTTGCCGTAGCGTGGGAAAAGCAACCACCCAACACCAGTGAAAAGATAAATGACGTACCCCTACCAAACGAGTCCCCAGCAGGCTCTTCCTCACAACGTAACGCTTTCTTTGACATTGTTCAGCCAACAGTCGATCGCAATGCTTTGATTCCACCACGTTCATTCTGCACCGTACCTGAATCGGTTATACACCTTGACACGGAAGAGGGCGTAGTCTCGCATCGAAGACAATACACGCTACCCATCGTATACCAAGACACGATCAAAGAACAGGTACAACAGTGGTTAAGCGATGGTATTGTTGAAGAAGCACCACCTCACACTATGTGGAATAGTCCTCTCACGTTAGCACCTAAGAAAGATCTATTTGGCAACTACACAGACAAGCGTCCATGCTTAGACCCACGGCATATCAACAAACTACTTGTCAGCCCGGATCGTCATCCACTTCCTCTCATCAAAGACATCTTCCGACAGCTTAATGGAGCTACAGTTTTTACAACATTGGATCTAAAGCAAGCTTTTCATCGTTTCGAGATTTATGAGCCACACCGCCCTAAAACAGCATTCACTGTACCCGGTCATCCACAACTCATGTTTCGCGGTTGTCCCTTTGGACTCAAGCCTATTTCATCAACATTTCAACGCACCATGAACATCATCTTCCATGATCTTCCACATGTACTCACATTTGTCGACGACATCATCATCTTTTCCAACACACTTGAGGAACACGCTCAACACGTGGCTGAAGCTATCGAACGTCTCACCAGCGTCAACTTAATCCTCAACCCCAACAAGTGTCATTTCGCTCAAGAATCAGTCTACTTGCTTGGATTTTGTGTATCAGCACAAGGCATTGGTTTGGATCCTCGCAAGGTGGCAAACGTTCAAGAGTGGCCGGTACCTCGCACTGGCAAAGACGTACAACGGTTTCTTGGTGTTATCAACTACTTTCGTGAATCAATTCCCAACGCAGCTTCGAGGATGGCACCTCTCAACAAGCTACGACTTGAGCACCGTTTAGACGACTTATGGAATGACAGCGCGCAAGCAGCTTTTATCGACCTCAAACGTGTGTTATTGCACGCACCTATTCTCAGCTATCCAAATCTCAAACATCCCTTCCAGGTGGCAACCGATGCATCACATACAGGGATTGGAGCTGTACTTTATCAGATTATCGATGGCACAACACATCACATCGCTTTTATGGCACGATCTTTATCTCCTTCTGAACGCAACTATTCCACCACAAAACGTGAGTTACTTGCTATCATCTTCGCCCTCAACAAATTCCATCAATACTTATGGGGCAATCATTTCACCTTGTGTACAGATCACAAAGCGCTGGTCTATATTCACACACAAAAAGTGGCTAACGCCATGATGATCAATTGGCTGGATACTATTCTCGAATACTCATTCGATGTCGTGCACATTCCTGGATTGGACAACACCCTACCTGATCAACTTTCTCGCCTTTTTCCCACTGAAAAAGAGCTGGCAGGGGGCACTGTATCACACGACAAACAAACATCCACACAAAACAACGCTATACACGTTACAGGTAACCAAGGCGACAATAACAGCAGTGATGAACAGGATGATGACTTATATTTTGAACCTCCTGAAAACGAACGTAGACAACTGCTTAAGGATGCGCATCAATGCAAGGAAATGTTGAAAGACGCACACGCCTTCGGACACTTTGGAGCAAAGGCTATGGTCGCACAATTACAACAAGATGGACTCAAATGGAACAACATGCATCGACAAGCACAAGAGATTGTACACGCTTGCACACAGTGTCAACAAAACAACATTGCAAAACAAGGCTATCAACCTTTACGTCCTATACATGCATTTCTTCCTGGTGACCATTGGGCTATCGATCTCGCTAGTGGATTCGACAAAAGTCATAATGGCAACCTCTACATCTTGGTTATGGTAGATGTATGCACACGTTTTTGCGTATTACACGCCCTTCCGGATAAAACGTCTGACACAGTTGTCAAAGCGGTTATCGACACTTTCTGCAACTATGGATTCCCTCGCTATCTACAATCTGACAACGGCACTGAATTCGTCAACACTTTAATGCACAAGTTAAGGAATGCCGCAGGTTTTGATCATCGACTTACTACACCTTATCACCCACGAGCTAATGGATTAGCTGAACGTTTCGTCCAAACGTCTATCAACACAATCCGCAAAAGCATTAATGGAGCCACAAGAGATTGGGATTTATACGTCAAACCAACTCAACTAGCACTCAACAACAAAGTGGCCAGCATACATGGATCTTCACCATTTGCCTTGATGTTCAATCGCGCCATGAATGGATTCCGTAATTACAACAATGAAGAGATACCACAGCCACTCACAGAAGAAGAGCTGATGGATCGCATTGATCACATGTCCAATACGGTTTTCCCGGCAATATCAGAGAGAGCACAGGCACTACAACAGCTCAAGAAAGGTAAACATGACGCTAAGTACAAGATGGTACATTTTCCTCCAAACAGCAAAGTCATGGTCAAAGATGTGTCACGCAGTAAGAAGATGGATCCACGTTACGAAGGACCTTACACTGTCGTCAGGGAAACTCCAGGTGGCTCTTACGTTCTTCGAGATGAACAAGGGTTACTCGCAGCCAGGAACTTTGCACCATCACAGTTGAAAATGGTATCACAAGATGAATTGGTGGATGTCAACGAGCTATATGAACATGAAGGCCAATATTACACCATTCAATCTATTGTGGATCACAAACAACTTGCACCCGGCAACTACATGTACAGGGTACGATGGGAAGGTTATTCAGCAAATGATGACACTTGGGAACCACCCGAATCATTCAACAGCACACAACCTATTGCAGAGTACTGGAACAAGCTTGGCCGTATACCACCACACGATTCTTCCATCGATGGCAACATAACCCAACACACTGACACAGAGAAACATGTACGCAAGAGATCGTTACCCAACGCCAACACTTCAACACGCAAAAGCAAGCGTTTACGTTCTTCACGAAGATAATGTTCAACCTGGCAGGGGGCAATGTGGTGCACACGTATATCAAGTGACATTGAGATTATCGGTTAAACATTATCCATCATAACAATGCAAGCACATGCGGATCTTTACATCTCACCCACTTTCCACCATACGTACGCATGATCCAATACGACCACATTTACATGCATCACCACACTCATCCTTTCTTCATCCTTCTCTACCAGCATACTACACCCACGATACTAGAATTAAGATATAAAAGCACTGGAGCATCGTCTTCAGAATAAACATCAATCTCAAAGAGACTTCTTATTTTTTGTTCCTTTGCTTTATTTGCTATTTTCATCTTTGTTTACCTCACCAAGTACTGAAACAAGCAGGATCGTATTCACGTGGACGAAAGAGAATAGCTGCATCGCAATGAATCGCCTTATCGAACAAACCAACAGAAGCTCTTGTGCCTTGTTGTCATGTGTGAATTCAGTGCCACCACCAAAGCCGATTAACGATAGAGACCCATTGTGCCTTGAACGATGATACCAAATGACCCTAGTAGAGAATGCTGCCAATAGAAGGGAAAAGAGCTCGTCCCCTCTGTAGCCATGCCAACAAATGGGTGCCGCCAATAAATGAAAAACAATTTCCTATGCCTTGTCGCCTTGCTGATAACTGTGTTCAAGTTGGGTAACGATGCCAGTGGGACCAAAACGTACTCATTTGCTCTGTAGCCATGACAATGAATGTGTCCAAAGAGGTAGTAGCGCGAATAAGATGAAATGCAGTGTCGCGTGCCTTGTAGCAATGACGATAAACGTGAGCAAATTGGTAATAGCACCGATCGAGTATTCTTGAAAAGAGACACCTTTTGCGTTGTAGCCATAACAATAGCCTGTTGATTTGTAATGATACCAATCAATGGAGAGTGAAGGCTTGAATCTTGTACCCATGACGCCCCGTATGTTCAGCTTGGTAATGGAACCAGTAAAAAGAAAAGAGAACTCTTGCGCCTTGTTGCCATGGCAACGATGCTCCCATATCATTGCGCCATCCTTAACAAGAAGAGAGCCCTTGCGTGTGTCCAATGGTATCTGCCATATGCATAGGATCCGAATCGGTGACAAGACCAATAAAAAGAAAAGAGAACTCCTGTCCTCCAAAACAGCAGCCACTGCTGATACCATTAGCTCGAAAAGAGCCCAAGGCCTATTGTAAATGGGTACATCCATTAGCATCTTGAAAAGAGATACCCATTTTTGCTTGAATACATACCATACCGCGTGACCAAAGCCTGTTTACAGGGACACCCTACAGAACCAGAAACAAGACGGGCATGTCATCCCAGGCACATTCAGCCCCATGTGGAGAGTGAAAGGAATCGACATGTAGGCCTCTTTCCCTCCCACGGACCCTTCAAAGTCTTATCCTCTGCACCAAGCGCACCGGATCCAACGACGTCCAATCTTCTCCAATCCACAGGCTATGATGCCTTGCCCACCATGTCTTGATGTTCGTTTGCAGATACCCACATCATAGATGATTACCGCTTGTACCTAAACATGATCATCCAACATGTAAAGGCAGTAGCACTATGCAGGGACACACCACAGTATCAATAACCATCATGGCCCCTACATCATAAAACGACATAGGTAAGTAAATGGATCAAAAGACAATACCAATATTTTGACTTACCCTTTCAAGACCAAGTCAAGCGCCTCAGTGGGTAACGTATCAAATAGACCATGAGAGGACGTAGGAATGCAAGGACTTGCACATAGCATACTGTATCATGGATACCAATTGGAACTTCTCGTTGGCTCTTACAGCACCCAAGGTGGCGTCATCGATGACCATCCAGATCCTCCCACCGCGAGACCTACATGCCGACCCTTTCACCCATCACACATGAAGCTGAACGTACCTGAGAATCATCCACGCCTTGAGTCTGGACTGCAGGGTATCCCATCCATAACCGAAAACATAGCTCCACAAGAAAGGAACAGCTCCAACACCGATAGCCTCGAAAACACAAGGCACCAAGGAACGAAAGCTTCACAAAGGAAGCCTAAAATGGAAGGTTGTTTAAGTGTCATTGTAATACATTTGAGTGCTAGAGCAACTTACCAAACGTCTTCCCATTCCTCATTGTCATGATCATCATCGTCGTCATCCTCCTCCTCTGCCACAGCCCCCAACTCACGTAACAACTCAGCAAGAGCGGCTGCATCTTCAGGTCTCATGGTGGGCTGTGGCATTGCTTGCTGTAATGCACCACGTGGTTGCGGACGTGGTGATGGTGGACGAGGGGTGTTGCGGATTGTGGTGGTGGTAGCGGGAGTGATAGGAGTAGATGTAAGGCGAGGTTGATTGGTATTGGTAAAAGGACGAGGACGAAAAGCGAGTGTTGCGAGGGTGACATGAGAAGTTGCGGAATTAGTGGTAACAGTAGTAGCAGTAGGATGATGATGAATAGGCGGTGGGGTGGTAAAAGGAGTGACAAAACGAGAGCTGGTGGTAGGTGTGGTTGCGGTAGCTGGTGGTGGCATAGAAATGGCGGTGGGGGTTGACATAAGGGTGGTGGTTGGCATAACAGCGGTAGTTGTGGTTGGTGATAAGGGATTGCGGATGTTGATGTTGGCGGTATCGATGGTTGTTGTGGCAGCGGTAGTGGTGGTAGTAGTGATGGGGGTAACAAGAGGAGAAAGGAGCATAGGTTCAACCTCCATTGGGATTGGCGTGGGTGAAGGTGGAGGTGATGGTTGAGGTGTTGCGGGTTGAGAAGGAGGTTCAAAGGAAGGCATGTCTAAGTAATTGAGTAGGTTAGATATGTAAACACATGTAGAATATATATGAGTATACTTACCAACATCAATAGGATCGTCGTCGTCATCATCGTCAAGGAATGGAGGGAAAGGAGGGAAAGTCAAATCGGCGAACATGATGGAGATTGGGTCGTCATCTAGAAATTATCATTTCATGTCAGCTTGTAAATCATCACAAGGATCCATTTTGGTTGCGATAGTACTTACCAATCACCATCACATCAACGGGCTCCTCATACCGCCGATCGAAAGGAGGTGCCATGTAGGCATCCTCATCAAAGGGGTCCTCCACACTCAAATGGTACATGAGGAAAGCTATATAAAAGCATTTGTGAGATGCTTGTATATGAAACGGAACATGTTTATACAAAAGTACATACCTAGTTCCTCGTCATCATCGTCATCATCATCCTCGTCATCATCATCATCCTCGTCATCATCATCATCCTCGTCATCATCATCATCCTCGTCATCGCCATCAGCATCCTGAGCATCATCATCACCACCAACAAAAGGAACATCACCAACAGGATGCGCAGCACCAGCAGGAACAGGATCACGGACCAAAGCAGGAACCGGAGGAACAACATCAACAGCCGCAGCAACGTCACCAGAAACAGAGCCACCAATAGCAGGCACAAAGCGAACACCAACAGGGACAAAAGCAACTTCAACACCACCAAAAGCAGGATCAGCGCCACGATGACCACCAACAGAACAAGAGACATCTTCACCACCAGCAGGGACAACTTCTTCATCACCGGCAAAATCTTCACCTCCAAAATCAGAACCAACAGCAGAGACAGCAACACCAGCAACACGAGACGAAACAGCAACACCAGACAAAGCAGCCACACCAGAAGAGACAACATCACCAGAGACAGCAACACCAGCCAAACGAGGGCAAACAAGCAACTTGGTGGTCAAGGTGGGATTTGCATCGACCACACTTGCCAAACGACTGTAATCAGCGATACACACCCACTTCTCCAAGTAGGCAGCAACCGAACACCAAACGTAGTAATAAAAAAGGGCGACACAAGACAACACCGCAAGAGGGAGAGCAAGTTCGATAACCAGTTGGACGGCCAAGTAAAGGAAAAGAGCAATTGGGAGAAACCATGGAAAGGTAAGGAAGAAGGCACAAAGAAAAACGCAGAGGAGCATGTTGAAAAGTAAACAGAGTGCGAAAGAGAGAGGAGTTAATTCGTTGCGGTGGAAACGTACAATTTAATAAACGAGGCCACGTCACCCCATTTCACCCCATTCCAGTAATGCATTGCCATGATCCTTCTCAATGGAGGTTCGAATCGGTAAACAAGTATGTCTTTATTACGTTTATATTGTGTGCTCATCAACTAGTAGAGTTGTCATAGTGACGAGGTGGTACTCTTAGGGATAGCTGTATTATAGTGATACCACAATATGAGCCTTGGTCGTCTTTCTTCAATCCCGTTTAATCTCGTTGATCATATCAAAGTGAAGGGTTATGAAGGTATCAAGGTTGTGGTTGTGTGTATAGTGGATGCTTGCATGTAGGGCAGCGACTAATTTCCATATGTTTGTGTCAGAAGGTTGCTCTGTCAACTCAGCTTCTCCATTGCTGCTTCTTACCAGACCTCACAACAACGCGATCGTGGTTCGACATGGGAGCCCCCCATTAGTCACCGACATGTGCAAAGGGGTGTCAATGAAGGTACGTAACGTGTTAATACAGTGTAAAAGCCGACTTGCTTTTGTTCGCTGTGTATACTGATATGGGTGTCTTGTCATAGCTGTCGTGGCTCAGGAATGTCGACAATTTCAAGATTGAGGAGGAATGTGGAACGAGATTCTGTTCAAGAAGGGCAAAGGGTGCACTGATGATGGGGTAAGCAAGACGACTGGAAACGTGTGTCGCAAAGGGATTCATTGATGTGCTCTAGAGGCGTGCTTCTTGTGCTCAATAGCAGCAACCTTTATCCGCGACTGGATCACGTGCCAGCAAGGCAACAACAGAGCATGGGAGGATGTTTCGGCTTATGGTATGTACAAAGAGCAGTGGTGCTGAAGGAAGGCAAGGGAGTGGATCATAGGAGGATGACTAATGAATTAAAGCAGGGTCCTCAAGAATTGCCATCATCATTGAATTTGTTCATTCCTGGTGGTGTGGATACATTGGATGGGATGATACCAAGCAAGGAATGTCCACTGTGACAATGCAAGGCGTGATGCGGATACGTTTGCTCTTCTTGGAATGTGTCTCAAGACCATGCAGTAACGGATTACATTCATCGTATCGGGTCATGGTGATACGCGGTGTGTTTGGATACACTTTTCATTGGGTCACCCTTTCCGGTAATGTGTGTTCACGTGCATTGGATTATGTATGTCATGTACTAAGGCATGCATATTCAGTGATTCGCTTTGGTTGACTTTATGCTTTATGGTGGTCTGATTGGGCAAGAATTTCTTATGCTTTGCATGAACAAAGGCTTCGGTACGTGGAATACATAGGGGAGGGAAATGCTTGCAAAGCAAACAGTGGTTACTATTTCAAGCTGCTTACTGTATCATCATCTTATTCAAGGCCCAATCACTGCATTGGTTGTTGAATCGGAATATTTCAGCGCAAGGGATCCACCAAATAATGGCAAGCACCATGATATCGTTTAGGCATCCAAGTCCTGTCACGATCGAGTCTCCATATTCCCTTCATGTCTTTGCCACCAATGTATTCCGTGACCAATGATCCAAATCCTGTGCATGTCTTGATTGTCCAGCGTATATATGAGGCTGAGCAAATACATCATCGTGGTGTTCCTTTGGATGAATGGGGGAGGTTGGATGATGGAAATTTTGGGATATTCTTGTTTACGGAGGATGAAGGTGGTATACATTGACCGAATCCGGATCCTGTACGCGTTCAATCACGTAACGAGCGAAACGGTATCAGCTTCTGGGATTGCGAGAGCGATGGATGAGATAGACTAGTATCTTGCTAGCTGTATTCGGGTAGCCGCGTGTCGCATCAAAATAAAAATTGCCATATGGTGTCCATGTCACGACAAATATGATTGAGGAGCATAACGCATGAGAGCACACATACGCAACACTTTTTCATGTATGATTCATATATGGTTTCTAATCCCCCAATGCACAGCCAGCAGCAGGTGCTCGCCCCCCCCCCCCCCCCCCCCCCCCCCCCCCCCCCCCCCCCCCCCCCCCCCCCCCCCCCCCCCCCCCCCCCCCCCCCCCCCCCCCCCCCCCCCCCCCCCCCCCCCCCCCCCCCCCCCCCCCCCCCCCCCCCCCCCCCCCCCCCCCCCCCCCCCCCCCCCCCCCCCCCCCCCCCCCCCCCCCCCCCCCCCCCCCCCCCCCCCCCCCCCCCCCCCGGTATGTACATGTTCCACAATAGCTCTTTGAGGGGAAATGCTCTTGTATGGTTGCTAATGCAGCTCGCTTTTGTTGGATGTCTTAGCTTTGTATCAGTGATCCAATATTGGCGACTCTCTAAGCGTTCATTACTCGTGACCTGGCAACCGGTTCGCTATCATGGTTCGTCTCTTGGTTACGGCATCGGCGATACAGCTTCTTTTTTGAACACCTCGAAACGTCGTATAGGCTTCACAACAATACCTCCACGCATAGCCGAATTGATACCCACAAGGTGATTACGATTTGCAGCTGGATGAATGGATGGATAAACACGATCGTCAACAATCGCTATGCCTTCACCACATGGCCCTGGGCCTATGCTTCCTTTTGGTATGGGACGATGTATGGGTGTTGGTTGACCGGAGAGAATACAATGATGGTGGCGCGTGCGATGATGACTGTGGATTGGAAAGTGGAAGCCATTTTGCGACATTACAGAACTCTTCGGCAACAAAGTAGGAGGATACATTTTGTGACATGGTAGCATAGACGAAGTATCCCCGTCATCCCCATTCAAGTGGCTACATGGAGAAGGCGGTATCATGCAGTGCAATCTATCAACATCAATGGCATCTACAAATGGAACACTATCATCGTCGTGGCAATAGTTTTCTCTTCATTCACAATACAAGATGCACAAACAGCAGCCATCGTTGAGCTACATCATTGTATGCATGGGACTGGATCGTGGCAAGAAAAATCTGCACAAGGACAACCTATTCGCGATGATCCACCAAAAGCAAAATGACAATGAGATTTGTTGATCACTTGAGGTCACTGCAACAGAGCATGGACATTGATGGGATTACAATGAACATGCATACGAAGGATACCGGCTGCCATAATACAATGCTCAAGTCACCATTCCTATCACCATGATGCAAGACACATGCTTACTGTTCAACGAAACTATGCACGTTACATCCATTCTTTCCTTCAACAATCAAAGATGCTGGAATTTGAAAGAGGAATAGATAAAAGAACATCCATTTAGCTTAAAGTCTTTCGAGCTAGCTAGTATGCCCGTATCAATCTTTGAATACATATACTTTCATCATCATGTTCAGATCTTGTGCGAGACGTTTGACAATCATTAAAGATTACTTGTTATTTAAGATCATGCTTCAAGCATAGACAACCATAAAGCTGGTCGTTACTCGAAACCTCACAATGAAGCACAATGAAGCGTGGGGTGTTTAATAGAACCAACATGCTCGGCATAGTCAAAAGTACCTTGTGTACAAGTTTTAGGATCGAGATCGTCAATAGCAACTTTTGTATTTGTGGATGTGAACCAAAACGTTTCAGGAGGCTGACCTGATTTCATTTTGGCTGGTAGGGCTTAGAGGTAGTGCTAGGGCTACGAGGAGGCCACGTTTATATTAGCAGCATTCTGATAGCGTGAGGGAAACATGAAGGTGCTCGTCACTCAAATGTTCACAAAAGAATGGTACCCTTTAATATCAGTTTGGTGCTCAATAACAGTGAAAGAATCTTGGACGGAATTTTGAGGGTGGAGGTTTGCTATCCGAAGATAGGCAATCATCCTACTTATATATCTTACTATCAAGACATCTGCTTTGGGAATGCCATAATACAAGACTTGGCTTCTATCCGTATACGATTCATCAGCATTTAGACATGGATTCCCAAAGTAATTTCTATCACCTCGTAGCATAGCGATTTGGCGCATAACCGATCTCAGTGCCAGCCTTCATCATCGACAGGTACCAGTACATACCATCTTGCTGTATCATAGCGTCGCCGAGGATTGTATACTGTCATCATCCTTGATCAAATGCATCTATTATAGTGAATGTACTTCAATTGCTTCATTCATCGCTATCAACGCAAATGCTACACTTCGTAATGGCGCTAGGAATCATTTGCGTGATTTATCTAACCATGGTGGTCAACTATCCAAGCCAAACTATAAAATTGAAGCACGAATGTCAATAGGTTTCGGTTATGGGGTAAAGCGAATGTTCATTGTGTGCATGGATAATACCAAGTATATGAAAATAAGGTGGTGATGTAGATTTATTAACGCTACATGGCGACTAAAATAACCTTCACTTATCTAATACTGTAGATCGGGAATTCTTTCAAGTAGCATTGATCGAGTATCATTGTGGATTGGTCAATCGCAAGTGGTCCATCCCAAATGACGGCGGCAGTATAACCTGAAGACAATGGCATACGCATCATGAATGTCTCCAGTGGTGGTAAGGTTGCTTGGATTCGATAACACACCAAGCTCGTAAAGGGCACAATTGGGCATGGATTCATCGTACTTGATAAGCAAGCCTTGGCATCCTTCTTTCTCATAATGACTCAAACAACGATGTAAATGGATCTCGTTGGATGTTGTTCGTAATTAATTCCAAAAGCGTCAAGCATCTCAATCAAGGTATCGCGTCAATCAGCATGAATGTTCTTCAAAGAGTCGTATGGGATAGATGCCAAAGGTGATCCTTCTTTGTCAGCCATATAGTCCACATTGTCTCTCAGAAAGCGTGCGACACCTGTCGATATTCATCAGGTTGTTGCTAATCGGGAACGTCGAAATCGATATAAAGTAGATGTATTGAAGGCCATGATGGTGAAAATTGTGGTAGGCTAGCCCATGACGGGAATTGGCTGGATTATTTCGCGTGGACTACAACAATATGCAGCGTTCATTATTGTCCCCATTGTCGACAAATACATGCCTGCCAACCCTGTAATCTTTCAACAAGCATATCCCAAAGGCCCATCCATGAACTAAACATACCTTATCCACCTAAATGGACTGCATAGATGCCATTTGAATCCACCCTGGGATGCAGCATAGGAACAAAAATCAGTGGCACCATCCACGAACTAGGAGACATAATATGGATGAAGGGAAGAGTTGCATGTATTTTGAGATCCCCGAGATCAAATCGCTTGCCTGCATGAGACTGCATCGTGCACGTTCCATACTTCGCAGGTAGTTGAGGTGCTGAAACCATTACATCGAATACGAACGAAGCCATCCATGATTTCACACTCGCCTAAAGAATGAAATCCAAGATGATGAGCGGTATGAAGCAACTAACAACTCTTTGCACCAATAAACAATCGCTTTCCCAAAATATTTCACGTACCAATGGGGTGAGACATGTCATAATGTTTCCATGCAGGGTTGTAAATTTCACTTGGGCGTATCCAATGGCTGCGTTGGTTTCCTTTTGAGTAGCCATAGCGAACGCATTCGTTGCCATGGCAGCTAGCATCATGAAGCGAACAGCAACGCTCATTGACCGTTGCCTTGTCTTGGTAGTTCTAGTGATCGCCACAAAAAGCTGTTTAGAGTTGTGTTGTGCAAACAATGACCATTAGATAAGTACCAGTGACAGAAACCAGGCTTTCGGTAATCCCATAGCCATCCGACGGAGGCCGCCAGCCCATCTTTGAGAAATGCCGAATTACGAGAGGCGACAACGAATACACATAGAGGATTGCAAGGAGCCATATAGTCCCGAAACGGGTATATAGATTAGGCAGTTGGTGCAATGAAGAGATCTTGTTGTTTTGTGGGACTTGTTGTAATGCTTTTTGTTCAAGCCGTAACGTGTCATGATACGAAGAAACCAGCTGTTAACATCGGTGCTTCATCCAGACCCCAAAGGATTCCCTAAAAAACGCCCATTCGTAGAAGGAAAAAGATGTCAACTTCAACATGGGAATACATGGCAAAAAGGGTGACCACTAATGAATGTTCCCATACATACCGTGTACCAGCATGATCCAATGCATTGAATCTAAAGGCTTGTTGCATTGTCTCGAGACATCTTCCAAGAAGAGCAAATGTGTGAGCTATAGGTCCTGCATCGCTGCGGTACACATGCCACGTCTATTACCATCCAATGTATCCACATCACTAGCAATGAACAAATTCAATGCTGACGGCAATTCTTGAGGACCCTGCTTTAATCCATTAATCATCCTCCTATGATCCACTCCCTTGCCTTCAGTACCACTGCTCTTTGTACATACCATCGCGAAAAGCAGAAACATCTTGCCATGCTCGGCTGTTGCTTTTTCATCACGTGATCCAATCGCGGGATAAAGATTGCTGCTATTGAGTACAAGAAACACGCCTATAGAGCACATCAATGGATAACCTTTGCTGCACCCATTTCCAGTCTTGTTGCTTACCCCATCTCCAGTGCACCCTTTGTCCTTCTTGAACAGAATCTCTTTCGACATTCCTCCTCAATCTTGAAATTGTCGACATTCCAGAACCACGACAGATGTGAAAAGGCAGCCATATCAGTATACACAGCGAACAAGGACAAGCCTACATTTGCACTCTATCAACACGTTGCTCACCCTCATCGACACCCTCTCGCACGTGTCCTTGACTAATGAGGGGCTCCCATGTCGAACTACGATCGCGTTGTCTTTGGTCTGGATAAAAAGCAGCAAGGAGACGCTGAGTAAAGGAGGCACCCTTTTGACACAAACACATGAAAATCAGCCACTGCCCATGATACATGCATGCAACAAACACATAATCACAGTCATTCATGCCTTAATAAAGGTTCACTTTTATGTAATCAATGAAAAAAGCGGGATTGAAAGAAGACGACCAAGGCTCATATTGCGCTATCACTATAATACAGCTGCCGCTAATAATACCACCTTGTCACTATGACAACTATACTAGTTGATGAGTACGCAATATAAAGATAATAAAGACACGCTTGTTCACCGATTCGAACCTCCATTGAGAAGGATCATTGCAATGCATTAGTGGAATGGGGTGAAATGGGGTGACGTGGCCTCTTTTATTAAATTGGACGTTTCCAGCGCAACGAATTAACTCCCCTCTCTTTCCAACTTTGTTCACTTTTGCCATGTTGCTCTGTGCTCTTATTTGTGCTGTCTTCCTCGCATTTCCTTGGCTCGTCCCAATTGCTCTTTTGTACCTCGCCTTCCTACTGGTGCTGGAACTTTTCCTTCCTCTCTTGGTGTTGTCTTGTCTCGCCATTTTTTACTACTACGTTTGGTGTTCAGTTGCTGCATACTTGAAGAAGTGGTTGGCCATTGCTGATTTCAGTTGCGTGTCTCAAGTGGTTGATGCAAATCCCACTTTGATCACCAACTTGCCTGTTCGCCCTCGTTTGGATGGTGTTGCTGTGTCGTCTCGTGGTGCTGTCCCTGCTGGTGTTTGTGTTTTGCGTGTTGAAGGCGTTGCTGATGATGATGATGTTGTTGCTGGTGGTGTTGCTGTCTCTGCTGTCTCTGGTGTTGCTGTTTCTGGTGCTGAAGGCGTTGTTGCTGCTGGTGTTGATGTTGCTGGTGCTGAAGAAGTCGAACCTGATGCTGTCTCTGTTGGCGATGAAGGTGCCCATGTTTCTGTTGGTGGTGATTTTGTTCCTGCTGGTGGCGATCCTGTTCCTGTTTCTGTTGGTGACGTCGTTGAGGATGCTTTTGTTGCTCGTGGTGTGCATATTTTGCCTGAAGGTGATGGCTCTGCTTTTCGTGGTGTTCGCCCTGCTGTTGGTGCTGTTCCTTTTTCTCTTGGTGGCCACGATACCGATCCTGCTGTTGTGGTCGCTCCTGATGCGGATGAAGACGCTGATGATGACCATGAGGATGATGAAGATGATGAGGAGGGGGATGAAGAGGATGCTGTTGATGACGATGCTGATGACGCTGTTGATGTTGATGATGTTGATGACGAGCTTGGTACGTATTTTTTATGAACACCCTTCGTTTCTCAACAATCATCTGATAAATGCTTTTATAGCTTTTTTGATGGACCACCTGAGTGTGGAGGATCCGCATGATGAGGATGCCTATATGGCACCTCCCTTCGATCGGCGCTATGAGGAACCCGTTCCCATGATGGAGATTGGTAAGTGCAACACCTTAACGGCATGGATGGCTATGAGGATATGTATACTGATATGGAATGATATTTTCTAGACACCGACCCCATCTCCATCATGTTCGCCAACTTGACTTTCCCTCCTTTCCCTACATTGATTGACAACGACGACTATGATGACCCCATTGATGTTGGTAAGTATAGCCTCATATTACTTTTATATGTGTATACATCTCTAACGCGTTGAAACTATTTAGACATGCCCCTCGTTGAACCTCCTTCTCAACCCGCAACACCTCCACCGTCACCTCCACCATCACCTACGCCAATCCCAATGGAGGTTGATCACACGCTCCTTTCTCCTCTTCTCATCCCCACCACCACCACCACCAACACTACCGCTGTCACAACCACCATTAATACCGCTACTATGCCAACTATGCCAACCACCACTTCCGCCACCACACCTACCACCAGCACTCGCCATGTCACTCCTATGCATACACCACCAACCCCTCCGCATCCTATTACTACTACTACCTCTACAACCGCCACTCCTATGACCCTTGCAACACTCGCTTTTCGTCCTCGACCCTTTATGAATACAAATAATGCTCGCCTTACTCCTGCTCCTCTCACTCCCGCTACCAACACCATCAATATCCGCAACACCACACGACCACCATCACCACGTCCGCCACCACGTGGTCACTTACAGCAAGCAATGCCACAGCCCACAATGAGACCTGAAGACGCAGCAGCACTTGCGGAGTTGTTGCGTGAATTGGGGGCTGTGGCAGAGGAGGAGGATGAAGATGATGACCAACAGTGATTTGTGTCTGGTAAGTTTGCGTATCAATGTCTACATTACCATAACGCTTTTATTAACTTTGGTTTAAAGCTGCGTTGGTGTTTGCGTGGTTCTTCTGCCTTGCGTTCTGGAGGCTATCGTTTTGGTGCGCTCTTTCTCTCCCTGTCTTGGGGCTATGTTTTGGTTATGGATGGGATACCCTGCAGTCCAGATTCAAGGCATGGATGATTCTCAGGTATGTTCAGACTCGTGTGTGGTGAGTGAGAGAGTCGGCATGTAGGTTTCGTGGTGGGAGGATCTGGATGGTCATCGATGACGCTACCTTGGGTGCTGTAAGAGCCAACGAGAAGTCCAATCTCTACCCATGTTCCAGCAAGCTATGAGTAAGTCCATGCTTTCCTACGTCCTCTCATGGTCTAATTATCAATGCTACCCACTGAGGTATTGGATTTGTTTATGAAAGGTACGTCAAAGTATTTTGCATTATGATTTCTTATCCATTTACTCACACAATATCGTTTCATGTTGTGGGGGCCATCATGGTTATTGCTATCACGATGTGTCCCTGCATAGTGGTACCACCTTTACATGTTGTATGATCATGTTTTGGCACAAGTGGTAATCATCTTTGAAGTGGGTACTTGAAAAGGAACATGAAGACATGGATGATTGGCATCATAGGCTGGACTTGGATGAGATTGGGCGTCGTTGGTTCCGGTGCCCTTGGTGCAGAGGATAAGACTCTGAAGGATCCGTGGGAGGGAAAGAAACCTGCATGTCGATCTCTTTCGCTCATCGCACATGGGCTGGATGTGCCTGGGATGACATGCCACATATTGTTTCTGGTTCTGTGGGGTGTCCCTGTGAACAGGCTTTGGTCACGCGGTATGGTATGTATTCAAGCAAAAATGGGTATTTCTTTTCAAGATGCTAATGGATATATCCCCTTGAAAATAGGCCTTGGGCTCTTTTCGAGCGACTGGTATCAGCAGCGGCTGCTGCTTCGGAGGGCAGGAGTTCTCTTTTCTTTTTATTGGTGCCGTTGCCAAATCGGACCATCCGCCTATGGTGATATCGTTGGGCACATTCAAGAGTTCTCTTCTTTTTATCGATGGTGCTATCGTTTCGTAACCTATTGTCATGGCGACAAGTCCCAAGGGTTCTCTTTTCTTTTTATGGTTGGCGGTATTCTGGTGGTACAAGTATTATCATGGTCAAGGCACAAGGCTCCCTTTTCTCTTTATCGATGGTATTCTCGTTTGGGTATACCATTTCCATGGCGACAAGACACAAGGAGGCTCTCTTACTTTTATGGGTGGCTTTATTATCGTGGCACGTCTATTACGATGGATCCATGGAACCAGGCTCCTGTGTCTCTTGATGACCACCATTTCGCTTTGGAGATAACGGTTGTCATGGAGACACATGTATGGCTTCTCTTTTCTTATGGATGGTGGTATGCGTTCTCGTACATGGTGTGTCGCAACGCAATCAAGCTGCAAAAGTACGGTGATCGATTTTATTCATGCTATGTCAATGCAACAACACAATCGCACGTTGACATTTAAGCTGAGATCCATCTTTTCACGAAACTGTTGCTCTTTTTCACGCTTTTGGATGAAGATGGAGTTACCAGACATCCAATGTATCAAACATTTTGCATGACAGCAACAATGGACTACTATGCATGGTCATCGCATTATCAAAATCATCGATAACAGTATCAGCAACGCTTCGCATCACGGCGCGTTTCTATCAAAGACCCAGTCATCGGTTGTCATGGTGATTGCATTCGCGTAGCAGCAAACGATTACTTCAAGCATCAACTCCCACATCTCCATGGAGACAAGTGGCGCATTCAACGCCCATGATGGGCTGCATTCGGTGGACAACCTGCCCTTATATCGTGACAGCAATGGTGGCAAATCTATTCCTGGGGCAAAAATGGGTGACACAGCCACCTGTTTACTTCATTGGTTGGCATTATGGCAGGCACACAAATAGTTCCCTTCGAGATACATGACTACTCGGTTTTCGTGGAGTAATCTACACATGGCCCAAGCATTCTTATGGAGCGTTCTATTGATACAATCCAGCTCTTCTTGGCGCTTCGATGTCTTTCGCAAGCATGGTCACGTTCATGTCTCAATTGGTGGGGGCGTATGCACCTTTCAAAAATTAGCATTCCGGAAGAACGGTGAACAGCATCAAGATCTTTGAATTGATTGAGGTGGCATGGCCATTCATCATTGGTCTTTTAGAGGTCGTCATTGGTCATGATCTATATTTACATCACACATTCGGTTGGCGTACGACCAGGGCATCACTTTCTTTCTATCGGTGGCAGAGCCATGTTTCAGGATACCACGCTTTGAAATGGGCTGAACATTGCAACTATGATAACATGCCAAGGGCTTTACATTGGGGTTCAGCATCATCGATCCAAGACGTGGACAAGAAGACTATCCTTTCATATACCAATGGGTTATATGGCGGTGCAAGAGCATTTACAACATCAACCTCAATTGCCATCATGATTTCAAGCATGGACCTCTTACAGAATATCATCTCGATTCAAGACCTGCTGGTAGTCTCTCGACGTTTTCCCATTATTGGAGTTTCATGAATGACTATCGGCAACATGACAAGGCACAAACTACATTGTTAAGTCACCATGGTCGACATTGCAGCGAAATTCATTAGCACATGAAAGTCGGCCATGAAGAACGTATGTATACCCATTCCAAGGCTGATTTGTAACCATTTAACTTACCATGTCATTGGATAGATTCAATGATGGAATGCCACTACCATATCACATTGGTCCTGGCGATCGGTTCTGGATTTCCTATGCACAGCAATTGCAAGATTCCACACATCTCATACCAAATCAAACAAAGGCTCTCTTTTATGCGCATTCATTTCTTGAATCATTCAAGCAGCGCGATATCAAAGACAAACACAAATACATCAAAGTAAGTATTCCTTGGTGGATTGGGTGATCTAAATGAAGCAAGTGTTAACATAAGATGTTGTAGAACAAACATGCCGACAAACCTATGTCCATGGCATCAAGACCAATCTGGAGGATATGCATCGCTTTGTCGTTCAGGGTCACAGGGCACCGTGCGACCACCGATTAAGAGTCGCCTGGCCGTTGGGTGCCGTGCTGAATCTGCTCAACAATCTCGACCATCATTCAAATTGGCATTCAATTTCATCAAGATCAAAAGAGCCAAAAAAAGTATGTATATGAATACCAATACCATTCCTTCATGCAACGTTCTCATTGTGGTATTTTAGAAGAAAAACAAAACAAGAAAATGTGGGACTTGCAAGAACTGTGCTAGGAGAACTAGGATCACGCTGGTATCGGTGTTGGATAGCAAAAGCTCTACGCTTCCTCAAGGCAACGATTACTCAACCGCTTCACATGATAATGGGTAAGTACGTTCGATTCATCCCATTTATCATCCCATTGCTAATATAATCATCCTTGTAGGTTCTGCACATGAAACCTTCTTTCCAACGCTGTGAGCTTTAATTGATTCCAATGAAGCAAGGTGCAATAAAAGATGACAAGAGGCAATGTGGAGCACGCGAGACTCGAAGCAAGATTGGAATTACTTCTGTGAATGACCAAGCCCTCAGGACAAGGAGACAATCGAAAATGTGCATGGGCAAAGGCGTTGTAAGTGTGATTGGTGCGGATTGCAATTTGCCAACGTGGATGCTGATATTTGGGTCACATGATAGTGAATGCGGCAATGAAAGACATCGTTCGAGAAAAGGATGGATTGCCAACATGAGATTTGGAGCTCTCATCAACACACAAACATGCAATTACTCTCTGGTGGTAGAGGCGCTCGTTGATTGGTGGTGGTCAACAACGCATTTTCAGGCGTGTATAAAAAGATGATACTTTGGATTATCCCATACATAGTTAATGCAATACAATGAGCCATGTTCATAATAAAGGCCATAGATTTATTCAATAAAGCTATCAATCACTCTATATGAATCACTCATATCGAGCATCATTGTTGATCATGCTTGAAATTGATATCAACATGCAGCCTTGGAAGAGTAACGTGATCATCATCACTTGCACATGCATAGGAATTCTTCCGCCAAATGACTCACAATCAAAAATGATCCCTTTCTCTTTATTAGAACAGCGCTCTTCTTTATACTACACGCCTCTCTTTACAGCTTCACCTTCACTCCTTCTCCACATTGCTCATTCCGTGTTCGCCATCTGCCAACCCAACCATGTCAACATTCGTCTCTTGTTACATGTCATCGCGAAAGCCAACTGGTCTTCTTCGCCTTGTCCATGACCTCATTTCGACTTCCTCTTTTATACCACACTACACAACTTTGACATTCCACAACACCACCTCCACTGAAAACCGATCGTTGACAATGAGCATCGCTTCAGCGTCTTCACAATGTAGTCAACTTTGGAATCTTGACCCGTCCACAACACGTCCAACGCAGCTATGGAGTATGTACGCTCTGCCACGCAACCAATGGATATGTGTATGGTTATAGATGCTGGTAGGTGTATTATCGTGTGCGTAAATGTTGGCAGGTTTATAACGGGTTTTGCCTCGTTCAAGCTGCTCATCGTGGTCATTGTTCAACAGGCAGCAACAGCCTCAAAACCACTGGACAGGATTGGATACACATGTTGCAGCATTGCAGTCATCACGCACATCATGCAAGCTACAAGCCATGGATTACCCAAGCACTTTATGATTCAATCTCAAATCGTTTCAGCTCTTGGCTTCGAATGGTGATGGATTGTGGCATGGCTTTGGAAACAATGGTGGATTGATGCGTTTGAGATGCTCGACCTATATTCATAAGTCCTAGTCATTTGGAGGGATGAGGTAGGTTTCGATGCTGGATCCTGTAGATATGCATGTTCGCGGAGGGCCAAGCCTTTTCAGTATGCATACAAGCAATCCCGGGGTCTATTCGCGTTGGACAAAGATGGAATGGATACGCTATTGGTACATGAGGTAGAAGATGTCATTGTTGTCTCGTTAGCTGGTTTGCTGTAGCCGTACGGTTTCCAGTAATAAAAGTGGCTTACATGTAGTTAATAAGGATATGCTTAGTTAATGGTGATGGTTTAAATGAATACGATCGATATAGTGCAAAATCAGGATCTATATCCACGCTTATCATCTATCATGATACATCCCTCAATGAACAAAAAGAATACCCAAAGCCATACATGCCCTATGAAAGCATCTTACATGCACATCTCTTAATTCTTGTATCCTGCCAACTTGAAACTCCATGTAATACACCCCTAGAAATAAATGATATCGATGCTGTTGCTATGTATCCTAACTCTAATGCGGAGGAACAAGAACCCCTTTCTTTGATATAAGAAAAACGATGGGCATCGAAAAGTTTTGAGGAGCTGCAAATGCGTTGCGTATTGCAATGAATCACTGGTCAATTGGTATCGAACGATGCGTCTTGAAGAGCTCTTTCAAAAGTGCTTAGTGCAAAAAGCATGCTGTGACAGAAAATTGGCTTCAAATGTGTCGCAGGATCAAGCATTCAACACGTGACATTTATATAATAGCACACCCAATATCCTTAGTACTACAATACCATCATTTTGTATACGTATATATATTGTTAGAACACTTTATGATTAAAGGACAACTCTCTTCCACTTTTCGATTCGTCTACAATCTGGCCATTGGCTTCCAGCCAGATACAAAACGATAACGACATTTGGTAGCTGATGTCTGATATTGATCCAAAGAAACCATCATTCAGCAAATATCGAACTCCACATTATCCAGAGTTTGAAGAGGAAGGCATTACCACGAGAACAGAACCATCTTTTAGTATGGAGAACGACACACCGAGGCAAGGAGGACAACAGCCTCAAGCACAAGACGACATCATGCAGCAACTTCATTGACAATGACACAGATATTGGCGAAGCAACAACGAGACGATACAGGTTTTACGATCAAATCACCGACACCAGAACGATACGACGGCACAAGGTCGACAAAGGTTATCGAAAATTGGCTAGCCTCAGTGGAGAAATACTTAAGATTGAGCTAATACAACACACGCCCGATTTATGGCCTACATACGCAAGCTCACTCTTTACGGGCAATGCTGCAACTTGGTGGCGTAGACTTGAAGCAGCTAAGGTTACCATTGAAAGTTGGGAGCAATTCAAGCATAAGGTGCTAGAGGAATTCAGACCAAGAAACGCACAAAGAGCAGCTCGAGACCGCCTTGCCGCTCTTACTGCGACTAGCACTGTTTCAGAATACTTGAATGAATCTCCAAGATCTTTGGCTTGAAATCCCTACTATGACTGAAGATGAAGCTTATGATCGATTTGGCGCACTTGGCACCAAAAGTACGCACCGATGTTATGAAACCGATCACCCAGCAACATTCGATGAATTGGCACAACGAGTTATCATGGGAAGCCGCTGAAGCAACGGAGCAAGCTATCACCAACGGCCTTCCACGTCCAGAAACACGTGTATCACCATCTATCGTATCACCAGCTAATAATGGTGTTGCACCTATGGATCTCGATGTTTTGAGTGTCAACATTCAACTCACTCACAAGGATGGTACAACTCTGGTGGAACACATCTCGGCGGATACACAAGTATGCCACAGGCTACACAAGGTACCTATTCACATGGTGGCCCACAAGGTCTTTATTACCATGAACATCATCAAGGCCCAGGCTCCTTCTATCATGGCAACAGACCACAACGTCGATTCCAACAACAAGTTACGAATGGACCTACTTGCTTTCAATGTGGTGGTCGTGGCCATATGGCACGTGTTTGTCCCTCTGGTCGCAAGAATTCGGGAAAAGGCTAAGCGCGGCGGGTGTAAAGGGAGACCCACCGCGCGATTCTATACATCATCATCATCCCTTAACACTATTCAAGCCAAAGAATCGAATCCTGAAGCCAACTTGATCGATTTATCGGATAGCAGCCCCACCATTCAAGACACTCAAACCAACGTTGTCACAGCTGACACAGATCGTGCGTACATCGAAAAATTGTGCACAATAAAAGATTCTTGATTTTGCCACTATTCCATGTCATGCAACAACCATAATATAACTGCTTTGATTGATTCGGGAGCTACTTGTACTTACGTCTCACCTCGCGTGATTGGAGGACTGCCTACGAAAACGGTATCAGGCCGTTCGGTGGAAACAGCCGGGGGACATACGATGCCGATCACCACACAAGTTACACTGTTTGAATGCCGCTGGTTATTGTCATCATGTCAATGCGTATGTGCTCGATACTAAATTCGACTTGATATTGGGACACGATTGGTTTAACAAGTGAAACCAATTCCCGAGTGGGGTGGCGGACACATGGCGGATCGATAAAGATGGCACCTGGTATTTCCTTCATCCACAACACGATCGCCCAATTCCTGATTTGGCATACCTGATATCACACAGACAACTACAACGTTATGAACGCTCCAAAAAGGTTGATGATATGTATCTTGCGTATGTCAAGTCATCAGATGTCGATCCTTTAGGCGAAGCATCGGTGAAAGCATTGCTGGATGAATTCCATGATGTGTTCCAAGAACAATTGCCGGGTCTTCCTCCACAACGTGATGTAGCCCACATCATTGACACAGGCGATGTTGATCCCATCAAATAGGCCACCTTTTCAAAATGAGCCCTTTTGGAGCTGTAGACTAACCACGTAAGCAATTGAAAGAGCTGTTGGATCTCTACGTTTGATTCAACCGTTCACATCACCATGGGAGCTCCTGTCCTTTTTGTTCGCAAGAAATCGGGTGAACTACGCATGTGCATTGACTATAGATGATCAATCAAGCTCACCAAAAGGCATGGCCATCCTCTACCACGCATCGACGAATGTATTCTGGAACGCCTTAGCGGAGCACAATTCTTCACGAGTTTGGATCTCAAGAGTGGGTACCACCAACTACGCATCAGAGATGAAGACGTACCTAAGACGGCATTTAACACACGTTACGGCTCATACGAATGGCTTGTCGTCCCATTTGGCTACGCAACTCACCAGCACTGTTCCAATCAACCATGAATCGCGTTCTCAATGACTATCTTGACGACTTCGTCATGGTATATCTCGATGACATCCTGATCTATGGCAAGTCAAAAGAAGAACACGAAGTACATGTTCGCAAGGTCCTTCAACGCTTACGTGATGAACAATTGATCGCCAACCTCAAGAAATGCGATTTCTACAAGACCGAATCCTGGCTTTACCAGGTATCTGCTGGCGGATACAAACCGTCACGAACGAAAGTCAAGCATCCAAGATTGGCCAACACCAACCAATGCACGCAGGTACGCTAATTTATCGGTCTCGGCTCCCATTACAGGCGCTTCATCTGTAACTTCGCTTCCATTGCATCACCATTGACCGACTTGACAAAGGGATGGAACAAAGACGCGTGCGATTACTTGGACAGAGGAGTGTCAAAAGGCGTTTGATGAGACTGTCACGCATTATGCAAGCTCCTATTTTGGCATCACCCGATCCACTCAAGCCTTTCATCATCGAAACTGATGCATCAGATTATGGCGTTGGTGCTGTACTCCTCCAAAAAGCGGATGATGGCACTACTCATCCTATCGCATTCGAATCCAAGAAATTATCCAAAGAAGAACGTGGTTATCCGGCACAAGAGCCGGAGGGATCTGTGGTAAGATACGTTCTCACCTAGATTTGTAGTAATAATTTTTGATGTGTGTAACGTCGGACCCTGGGTATGTATATCGCTTAACAGGGCAGGCAATTGTGAATCATGCGATATGTGTATTATATAGATGTGCGCGGTCTGTGGGACGTGCTATCGTGATTTGAAAATCGGAGGTCACACAACTGTTGTAAGGCTCATGTTCAAAGTTGATGGTGTACCTTTTCACAGGAATGCTGCCCGGGCCGATGCCTTACAAATGTGAAATTTATATATAGTATTTAGGTGCTCTGATCTATGCAACAACCACTTTACATGTATGTTGCAATAGTGGCTGGCGAGCGATGGTGCCTATGAAAACGATTGGTTATTTTGTAATAAAAGTTGGACAATGACCATTTTTGCTTGTAGCGCCTGACCTAGTTAATAGATTGTTCTCCAATTTGGTACACCGACGTCTTCCACATGTGGTAATGGATGAGAATCATTTATGGAGTTTTGACGGCTACAGAAATTTAGGCTGTTATATCAGATTATATGCTCCACAATACCATATACTATAATGCAATTCCTTTCAGATTCGACAGAAAAATCTTTTCCAAGTCACAATTGTCCAAACATTCACCTCCGATGTAAAACGCTATAAAAAACAATCATTTTGCACTTTTTTGCTCGGTATCGATGGACCACTGCATTGGCGAGATATTAAAGAAACATTGTAGATACCTGCGAAGTTTTTTCAAAAAAGTTTTATTGAGCTTGTGTAAAATATTACCGAGACTCGAACGGGGACCATACATGTTAAGCTAGAATGATGGCCACTAACACATAACATACATATTGGTGTTAGGATCCATATCCAAAAGCTGAGGGCAACCACCGCCTTAATTGGTAGTTGAGGTAAAGTAAGTCTATATGATTAAGACTGTCTTATATGTGGATTTTTCTTTTTGACTCGGTGGAATGACTCTCGGATCCATGTTATGTAAGATTCATTAACCATAAATAGTATATTTTAGTGGCGGCGGAAGCTTCTTCAAAAGAGTATAAAAGGGATTATTTACCAATGCTCCCATGTCCATTTAGTTTTTATTTTACCTACTCAACTATGTCCAGAATCCCATCCATTCCACTTCTATCGCATACTCATAGTATGCCAAACCTTGACCTTTTGGGAGCATGTGCAGAGCACTGATGCAGCTAGCAGGTAATAGGCTATATTTATTAAGATTATCTCTATGCTAATATACATGGTTATTAGATACCCTCTTTTTGATCAAGCGGTTTTCTATACTGAGGAATCTGGTTATGTCGTTGAATGCCGTAATGGAACCCCAATGCGTCTTGGTCGTTCTGGTGCTCGTGGTCTGGTTTGGCGCTGTCCTCTTCGTAATTGTTGCAACCGTAGCCAAAAAACTACACGTTTGGATTCTTTCTTTTATAGATTGAAGGCTCCATTAGAGCGTGTACTTATGGTGATTTACCTTTTCATGGCGCGTACACGTATGACCCAGCTGGAGATGATGACTGGCTTGAACGCTCGGACATTGCGTACCATTGTACAAGGCCTCTACTATGTCATGGAGCAAGATCTAACTACGGATGACGTAAAAGCGGGTATGTAAAGGCAATATGGGTAATAGTATGCATTATGTTAATTAGTAAAGAATATAGGTGGAAAGGATCCCGAGACCAATGAACGAATTATCGTGAGATCGATGAAAGTGTTTGGGAAACGCAAGGATAACCGTGGTCATCCTGCTGATGGCGTTTGGGTCGTGGTGTGGCGGCGTTGAACGCACACCGCAACGCAAAGTATCTATGATGGTGGTTCAAGATCGTAGTGCTCACACGTTGCAGGAGATTGCCAAGCGATTCGTGCTGAAAGACTCCCACACTTCACACCGATTGCTGGCTTCAGATACAATCGTCTTGATGAAATACCTGATATGAATTATGTTCATTTTCCTTGTTAACCATTCGGAAAACTTTGTTGATCCGCAGTGCATGGAACATACAAACACGATTGAAGCAGTATGTTACTTGATTGTTCTTGTCATTGTTCCTTCTAACCAAAGGCTTCTGCTAGGTACTTGGAATGGTATCAAGCAAAATGTCACGGCGCGACATCGCAAGTAAAGATGATGCCTTGGAAACTGGTCGAATTCATTTGGAGGCGCAAGCACGATGACGACTGGTGGGGTGGTATCATGAAAGCGTTAAGTTGCGTGCAGGTAACACCTGCTAATGGGTCCGAAGATCATCCACCCCAATCATTGTTGACTGAGGTAATCGATCAAGATGGTCAAGATGAGGATGGTTTTGAAAGTCTTATCAATACTATATTGGAGGGTGCAAGCTCGAGCTCCTTTTTTACTTTTATTCATGACTAAAGTTATATATAGATCATCATGAAGATGGTCATCGACGTGGTCGTCGACGACGCATTGACGACTCGAGTGATGGTATGCTCAGTCATCAGATCCACCTAGTGATGAATCATCTGATGAGGAAAGCGATGATAGTGATGATAGCGACTATATAGAATAAACATTTTGATAGTCACATAAGTGATCTCATAAGACCATACACTGCCAAACTGTAGCTTTTTATAGCACATGATAGCGATCCAGCATATATAATAGCCTTAACACATTAAATGGTAAAAATCGAGGTCCGCCAAATTTCACGTGACTTGGCCAGTAGACTTCAACGAAATATTCCGATTGATATACATTTCACCGCAGTCACATTGCTGGGGCCGGAGATATCAACGTTTAAAGATCCTAATGGTGAGAACGTATCTTACCCATTAACCAGCGAGATGTTAGCCATCATTCATGCGTTACGTACTTGGCGATGTTTCATCGATGGTAGACCATATACCGTTTTCTCCGACCACAATCCTTTGACGTATTTCAGAGCCCAAAAGAAACCAACGCTTCTATTCTTACACGATGGATTGGAGAAATCGAGCTGTATTCACCTGACATACAATACAAACCAGAAGGAGAATGCATACCTGATCTATTGTCAAGGCGTGATGGACCGGCTTGCCACAGCTGATGAAATCCATCCATGGAGCTCAGAATACTTGTATATTGGCTGAATCGGTACAAGACACGGATTGGCCAAAGTTTTACGCCATGCCTCAAGATCGATGGCCGGATTCTCTCAAGGACTTGCCGCACGAGAACAAGCGATAAGTTTATCGTCAAGGACAATCAAGTATACCGCTTGATACTCAATGGTGACCAAATTGAGGAACGTCGTTTCGTACTATTTGCTCGTCGAGCTGATCTTGTTGCCGATTTTCACGTCCCAGGGACATGCCGCTAAAGCACTAAAAGACCGATCTAATGACAAAACGTTGGTGGTGGCCACACATGAGAAAGGATATACAAGAATGGCTTGCAGCTTGCCCTCAATGCCAACTTGCCGCAAATGCCGATAGAAAAACTCATCATGCACCAATGGTACCCTTGGACATTCCACCTCCTTTTTCTCGCTGGCATCTGATTTCATTGGTGAACTTCCCACTCACGGCTCGAGGAAACAAATGGCTCTTGATCGCGGTGGATTATGCAACAAATTGGTGTTGTGCACGAGCTGTCCCTTTCGCTAACAAGCATGCCATCGCAGCTTTCATACATGAAGAGATCGTCTTAAAGTTCGGTTGCATGAATGGATTTTGACGGACTGCGGTTCTAATTTCATGTCCAATGCACTCGCTCATTACCTGGGACGCATGAAAATCAAGCACAAATTAACCTCGGCATTTCACCGCACAAACGCCAAAGCCGAACGCACAAATGGAATTGTTAAACAAATGATCCGAAAGTACGTTAATGGAGATATCAATCGTTGGGATGATTACGTGCAACAAGCTATTTTCGCATGCCAGGTCCGTAAAATGCACCGACAGGATTCAGTCCTTATTATCTTGTGATATGGTCAACAACCCAAATTACCTGGCGATGAGTTACCACCATTCATCCTTACGCCTACAAAGGAAGCGGAACCAACTCGTGAAACATTGGCTCAAGGCCGTGTACTGTATGTTCGAGCGTTACGTGAAGCACGTCTCTTAGCAGAACAACGACTCAAGAATAACGCCAAACATGACAAAGAGCGATGGGATTCTATCATGAAACCCTCAAGTATTCAATGCTGGTGATTATGTTCTTCTCCGCCATGAAAACAAATTCAGCTTGAGTACAACTGAAAGGCCCATATCGCATCCTTGCTCGCAACTCTGACACTCACGTATCAAATTCAAGACATGCAAAGCAACACGTACGCTTCGTGGGTTCATACCGATCGTCTGCGACCAATTCACCTCACTCGTCACCGCCTACACAACCATGGTACGATCCAACAAGCTCCAGAGCCAACATTCGGCAACAACTTTCAACGCTCACACCACAAAAATTGCTCGAGGACGACCAACAATTTCGGGAGGGGAGCAATACGTAACTGAACGGCGCATAA